ATACTGGCTAACGTCTCTGGAATAATGGCAAGTTTCCTTTTGGAGAGGGGGGTATTCAAAGATGTCATCTGAGAAATAATCCCAAATTGGATCACAAAGAAGGATGGCAGCTCATGTCACCAGTCATCAGTGGATGTGGGGATTTTCTAAGTGTGTGGGATGTGAATGAAAGTAATCAGCCAGTGAGATTTTTTTTAAAAGTCTGTAGTCATGATTAGAATACAACTTTTTCTAGGTTGAGAGCTACATTTAGTCTCTGTGTGGCATACTGGAGACTGCACTCCAAACATTAATGAGGAGGTCTAACATAAAATCTTTGTTTTCCCATCATATCATGTACATTTAATTAGAATCAATTATAGCTAATATGATTACTCTGCTATTTTCAGCCCATTTATCTAAGTTATAAAGATAAATCTTATTTCTGTCTTCTCAGATGTTACCTTCAAATTTGATAAAGATTTGGTCCATTTCTATGTGAAATGTTTTAATACAAAGAACAGATACCTCTCTCCAGTTAAATGAGCATTCTGATGATAATTGAGAACAGTTTTCAGGTCTTGTATATCTTCCTGTTATATCATCCAATCCACATTTAAATAGCATACTAATTAAAACATTATGGGTTACCTTATGAAATCCTTGCTGAATTCAATGTATATTTCATTCAATAAATTTCCCACAATCTACTAAGGAAATAATTTGATTTAAAGTTGGGGTATAGTCTGTAAGATTTATTTGTGATCAATTCTTGGTGATTTCTGATAATTCCTGAACTGTTTTCAAGAAGTTTATATAGTATAGATGACTTTATTATTATTTTATTATTTGCTCTAGAATTTCTGAGGCATTGGTGCCCAGCTTTTTGGCCCAAACATGAACAATGTTACACCTTCTCCAGTTATCTAGCTTTTCATTAATTGTCCAAGATTTCTCAAAGACAACACATGATTCTTGGTGAAGCCATCAGTAAGTTATTTCATTACCATTGGAAAAATTTGTCTGGCCATGCACATGTAAATTTATTCACAATAAATTAATATTTCTTTACAATAGTTCTGTGAATCCAAGATTCCCAAGCTTATCCCAAGAATGAACCAACATTGGCATCCTTGTCATGATAAAATATAGTCTTTGGTATTGAACTGGCTTGGGAAAAGAAGTTGGGATATATTTAAAATAGGGCTAAAGATTTGGGTATAAAATTCAGGTGAATACTAGATGACAGCAGTGGATCAGAACTTTTGTGCCTCTTTGTTACCATCTCATAGTCATCTGTGTTTTTACAATTCAGAATTGGTAGCCTTGTGCAAAAGAGCTGTTGTTTCCTTGGAGATGGGGGTAAGAAAACATTTAAAGACTTACTTGATCTATCTCAGTGCACATTCCAATGCACAGTTGTATATATGTTGAAGAAATGCCATCCATTTTCAAAACTCTTCTAATGCAGAAAAGTAAGCCATATGAAAAATCCTGATAAAACAAAGCATAGGTAGGAGAAGGAGTGGTATAACCTGGGAGCAGAGTTAAAAGAGGGATCAGTCTAGAATCCCTACCGAGCCACAAACGAACTAGGTCCAACCTCCCTTGAATTCTGTTGACCCTTATCTAACCCAAAGTAGGTGTTAATTATTAGTTGAGAAGATTCTTGTGCATAGGCATGATTAACAATAAATCAGTTTAATTAGACCCACACCTGTGGACCTGATCTTTCAAGTATGACAGCATGCTTTTCCTACAATTATATATTATACAATTATATAACCTCTCAAATTTCTGCTGACTTTGCATTTGGGTAATTTGCTAATTTGGGGGGGAATGAGGAAAGTGTTGTAGTTGATTTTTTTTTACACCAAGTTTAATTCAATATACAAAGGCTGTTTTATAGTAAACGTTCAGGTTTCCCTGAATGCAAAACCATGTTTAATAAGAATGGGTAAAGACCAAGTATGGAAACTTTGATTTAAATATGGGGATTTTGATAAATTCTTCAACCTGAGTTAGAGAAACTCTCTACAACAAAAGCAAAAGCCATTCTTACCTGGCCAGGTTCTTCCCAAGCTGCTTAGCTAGAGAATATAAATTAGCACAGTTTGAATAAATTGGCCATATTTTTTTTCTGCATCCAAATTCTGTCATTCTGTTCTTATGAACACACTACAACCTCATCTCTTACAGTTTTGGTTTTGCTCACAAGTTTTTAATATTTATTGGGAAGGAAGCCCAGACCAAACTGTTTAAACCAGTCTTGATCAACTCATCATTCAATACAGTGCACATCATTTTTGCCCAGTATGGTCACTGTACTTGGCCAAGTGCAATTTCTGGAGTAGTTTATCTATCTGCTTTTGTTGTGGCCCACCAGCTGCCTGCGCGGATTGTTGCTGATCCCAACGATGAGGAGGCTGGTGTGGTGTTGCGCCAGCAGCCTGTGCAGCTGGCGCTCGAGTCGGACAGCAAGGAGGCTGAAGAAGATGTGATGTCAGAGGCAGGGATCCAGCCAGGGCCTTCAGAATCTTCAGAGGCTCCTTTAAGTGAAGAAGATGAAGTGGAGGAGCCTCTTCTCAATGCACGAGTATGCCAAGCTGCCAAAAGGCAGGAGTGATTACTCAGGAGGAGGTCTCCTTGAGAGTAAGGCTTGGGGCTAATTGGCCACTCCCTTAGCCTATTTAAGTTTGTACACAGCTTGTAAAAAGCTGCAGGAAACAACGTGTGTTCGTTCGTTCGCTGATCATTGAGTTTGAATTTTCTCTGCAAACCTGGCTTCTGGGCTTTCTGCCAACTCTAGTAAAACACTATCTTATCTGTGGAATTTCTGGCAGGTTGTTAAGAACGTTTTTATTAACAGCCTGTATTTGCAAAAGACTGTGTTTTGAAGTAAACTGAGTTTTGTTCGGAGTTTGTGTGTGCTACATTCTTTGGGATCCATAGCTGGGGCAGAACAGCTTTGCAGGACTGCCTGTTTTGGAGATCTTCAATGCTGTTTCCATTCAAACATCCATACCAGGCCTTCAGAGAGAATAGACTATATAAAATAAAGAAGTTGCATAAAATTATATGAAATTTTGCACACCGGGACAAGAAAGCTAGACATTTGCACTAGTGCCATTCACATGCCAGATTGATCATGCTGTATGTTCATTTAATCCATGAAATGGGGTTAAAACTGTAATTTGGTCTGTCACAAGTCATTAAAAACTTGTTTATCTTTTCTTTGATATGGATTTGTGTGTGTATGTGTGTAGGAAATGACAGCCTGCTTTTTGTAAACATAAAACTAATAAAGCTCAGCAGGCCAAGATAACATAATGTATTCTAATTAAAATCTGCATCCGGAAAAGCACATCACAGAGCACGGCTGGCTTGATTTGTTTTGGCTGCTGTAATTTAATAGTTTTGTTTTAGTCAGTGCGCCTCAATTGTAAAAGCACAATCTTACATGGAGTAGGTATTGCATTGTAGAGATCTCAACTGATGCCTTTCTGCACATTATATGGATTTAGGCATTATACTGAAATGGGAAAAATTCTCAATTGTGCCATTATGGCCTCTGAATTCATTATTTAAATGTTCCCTAAGAACCCTTCCTCCGTATGTATCAGGAAGAGAGGTATTCTATGGCTGCCTCTTTAGTGGATTAACTCAGTGCACATACTATTATTTACTTCATGTAATATCAGCCCTGTGAGGGAGTCCAGACAAGAAGCACACCCACAAGTATTAACTCTATATTTATTGTAAAGTTCCATTAACAGAATGTTGCATGTCTGAAAATACTGTACATCTTCCTCTCACACCTGGCCCTTACAGTCCAAGAAATTAGGAAGGATCCCTTTTGAAAGCAACTCCATTCCTTCTATAGACTCGGCCACCTCTTATTTGATTGTTGCCTACTCTGTGGCTTTTCCTCAAGGTCATTCTCACATACCATTACAGTTGAAGAAGAGTTTGAGGTGGTATAACCCCAAGTTTCTCCTGTACATTTGCATGCAATGGTAATCATTTTAAATTGTTGACTCTATAGAAATGGCCTGATATCTCTCAGCCTGGAATCCGTAGAGCATTGACTTTCTATTCTAAAATAGTCAGCTACATACAGTTCCAGAGAAGACGGAGAAATGACATATATAAAAGGCTCTTAGATCAGTCCAATTCTCAAAACATTTTTCTGGCAGAAGGCTATTTGAAAATTTCAAAGTATTGTTTTTAGATCTCTGCCAAGAAATGGTGGCCATGATAATCCTTAAGGAGCTATCAAAAACAGGCTGCATGATTTCTAATGTCTCATTAATGAGCTTGCTTGAAACAGTAACACATGACTGTGTTATTATTCTCCTACAACTTTAATATACTATGGACTCATCATATGAAATGATTATGCTTCTAATTAAATCACAGCAGCTATTTTAAAAAATGCTTTATTGTTAGTGGTGATAGATATTTGTGTGCAGCAGCCTGGGGCCTGTAAACAACTTTTAGCTAGGTAAGGCACAAAAAAAAATACTGGATGGCAAAGTCATGATTTGTGTCGACATTGATGTATTATGAGTAGAGTTTTCTGTTTCATTGCAGCCATCAGCTTAGATGTTGCTTTTGTCAGATCATTATAGCAAAATTTCCACTGAGACTGAAAACTCTAGAAGATGATGATTATTACTGCTTATCTTTTCAAAATTCAGCAGTTTCCTGGAAATGTTCTATAGGTACAATTGTTTTTGATGGATGAAGAGTAGGCTGGAGAATGTATTTCAGATAGGAGTAATGGCTAGTACTTGTTTGTATACTGGATTGGTACCTCTAAACGGATCAAGGCAGATTGATTTCCATCTCCAAGATATACTCATAGTCAACTTACTACAGAAGCTGCAAAAGAGATGTACCTTGAAAAATACATATTCTCTGTTAATTAATTATTAGCCAAAGGCAAATTACATTTCCATATAATCCACATCATTAATTCCTTGTCTATTTCTCTGGTTTTTTTTTTTTTTTTTTCTTAGCCATAATGAAAGACGGAACACTTTCCTTCATCCAGTGATTGGCCAGACCCCAGGAGAGAACAACCATTTTGGATTGCAAAGGTTGGTGGGTTTTAGTGCCTTGCAATATTGGACATAAAATGGAAGTTCATGAAAGAACATAGAGCATAAAATTTAAGGATGAAAAATATCAAATGAAAGAAAATAGTCTCTTAGTTGTCTAGAAGTTTAGCTCAAGAAAAAAGGGCAGGGATTTGCCCAAAGGAGATTTGTATTCTGTCTGATTTGATGAATTCCTGGTTTAAGTTAATGTTAAGATCAATACATGGACATGTATTTGTGGTATGGAAGTATAAGAAGCAAAGTCAGTTTCTTGGGATTGTTAATGATGTATTTTTCCTCTCCTTCACCTGCAATCCCAGATCTGTCTTTGACATGTCAAGCAAAGCAAGTAGCAAGCGGCCGGCAGCAGTCACCAGTGAATCTTCTAATCACACAATGGTTTCAGAGGTACCTCAGGAACGACCAAATGGCAGGGTATGTTTGCTATATTGTGCATTGTGGTCTTGCATATTTTTCTTTTTGTGGCTCTGTTCTGATAGGGTTGTCCAAACCTTCTGGCTGTCAAGTTTTCCCATCTGAAAAATAAGGTGTAATTGATCTGCTACTGTGAAATTCACAGCACTATAGAACAACCTACCACATTGTTGTTCAAAGTTTAAAATCATGTTTGCAGTTATTTCACTTCATGCTGTCCAGGGGTAGGTTCTAATTTTTTTTACTACCGGTTTTGTGGGCATGGCTTATTTTGTGGGCGTGGCTTGATCGTCATGTGACAATTCTTTAGGATTTAGCAGAGGTAGTGGTCTACCAGACTTTTAACTGCTTGCAGAGCTGTACCGGTCTACCCATTTGTTTTTGGAGGCACCGGTCTACTCATTTGTTTTTTCAGGCACCGGTCTACTCATTTGTTTTTTCAGGCACCAGTCTACTCATTTCTTTTTGGAGGCACCGTCTACCACCACACTGCCTTTTAACACTGATCAGCTGTAGGGCAGCCCTTTGAAGCCCTGCGGCAAGAGTTTAAGCAGGTTTTGATCAGCTGGGACTCATGAGGCAGCAATAGATTGGGGGTGGGGGCAAATAAAAGGTAAGAATAACCAGAGGGGCTGGGGCGGGCAGGGGTGGCAGAACCCGTTCGGTGATGTCATATTGTCACTGCTACCAGCTCGGGGGAACCAGGCCGAACCAGAAGGAACCCACCACTGATACTGTCCAAGGAGAACTAGTTGATATTGAAATATCTTAGCATAAATGGCACACATGTAAAAATTCTACTTCACAAAAATTAGACATCTTTTTAAGGCCAAATGTCATAGCCAGCATGTACCCAAGATTATGAGTTTAATCCATATTTAGTCATGCTTAAAAATTGATCCATTGGTACTCAGTTAGAGATAAGTTAATCATGTCTTATTGCTTTCAGTGTGCCTAATATTCTAATATTTATTTATCAAATTTATACCCTCAGAGTTCCAAAGGAGTCTAAGTGGTTCATAAAATATAAATCAATTAAAAAGTCAAAACTAGAACTAATATAAAGGATATAACAAGAATATAACAAGAATAAATGATACAAAAACTCAACAACCATCAGACTTAATATAATTAAGCAGGATTTCATTGTATTACCCACTGCTTGTTTTGCCTGCCCCAAACCTTTCTGTTTTATTTCCCAAAGGCATCATCACGTACTTCCAGGAAAGGAATTGCTTTTGGAAAACGTTCTAATTCCATGAAGAGGAATCCCAATGCTGCAGTGACCAAGAATGGTTGGCTCTTCAAGCAGGTAAACCATCTGTACTTCAGAAGATATTCATAGCCCCTAAGCTGCAAGTACATTTTGAAGGTCCCCAAACCAATTCCTGATTCTGTTGGTAAATTAGATCCACAGTTTAATGCCGAAATTCTTTTACAAAATGTTCCATACCCACGTACATAATTAAGTAGTTATTTGAGGGCTTCTGGGTTCTTTTCTGGACTGTCCAATTTGACAACACAGCCATGATCACTAAAGTATCTTTAGCCCTACCAAACATGACTTTCATCCACTAAAATTAGAGCAAATGCTATTTGGTGTGCTAAAGGTTGCCCATCTTTGCACAAGCTTCTCCTATTTTTCTCTCATCACAGTCCAGTCTTCATGCTTTAGGACAGTCAAGGAAATGCTTTTTAACTCACTACTTGGTTTTTCTCGTAAGTTCTTATTGAGCAAGAAAATGATTTGAAAGTCATTGGCTTATTTGATCATTCCACCGGTGAGTTCTAGTGCTGCCTTAGGCATGAAAGTCAGCTGGGTGACTTTGAGCTAGTCACTCTTCTCAGCACCACCGCCTCACAAGATTATTGTTGTGGGGAAAATAGGAGGAGGAAAGATAATTATGTGTGTTCACCACCTTGAGTTACCTATGAAGTAATAAAGGCAGAGATAGGTAGGTAGGTAGGTAGGTAGGTAGGTAGGTAGGTAGGTAGGTAGGTAGATAGATAGATAGATAGATAGATAGATAGATAGATAGATAGATAGAATCAGTCCATTTGGATTGCTATGCACTATATCATTCTTGGATTAAAAATATTGGGATTGCTATGCAACTGATCAAGATCTCTGCCTGACTTCAAAGGATTGGTTTTTTTGGAGCTAAGGCTCCTTCTCATAGGTCCGTGATGGCAAACCTATGACACGCATGCCACAGGTGGCATGTGGAACCATATCTGTGGGCACACAAGCGTTGCCCTAGCTCAGCTCCAGCGTGCATGCATGCGCCGGCCAGCTGATTTTCGGGACTTCCGGTCCCACCGGAAGTCGGGAAACAGGCCATTTTCGGCCTCTGGAAGGCCTCTGGGGGGTGGGGAAGGCCATTTTCACCCTCCCCAGGCTCCAAGAAAGCCTCTGGAACCTGGAGAGGACATAAATGGGCCTATCAGGCCCAATGTGCCATCGCGTGCCAAAAGCGGGAGGAGTGGGGGGGGTCCCATCTGCATGTGGGGGGAGGGTCCACTCATAATTATGGGTGTGGGCATGCGCATGACCCCCCCTGCACTCCCCCCACTTTTGGCATACGATGGCAAAAAGGTTAGCCATCACTGTCATAGGTATTTCCCTCCCAGTCACACTGGAGGCAGACCTTAGAGTAGATCTGTTGCTGCTTCCTATGGAAGGGGATAGCTTCATCCCCAGTTTTGGTTCTGTCTTTTTCCAAAGAGCATGTGAGTCTATCAGTTCTGCCAAGGACTCCCTTAAATCTACAATTCTCCTTTTTAATGGTTTTTTTTTTAATTCAATTTTTATTTACTGCTAACATTCCCTAACATTTAAAAGTGGATTAAAATATTGTATAAATCCAAAACAAAGAGATCATTTTCAGAAGTGGCTTAAGCATACGTTTCCTAAATTCATTGGAGTGTAAAAAGGAGGAAGTACGGCACAATCAGATTTGCAAGATTCAGTTATTAGTCAGTAAAAGTAGTTTTAGTCTGCAGGATCCAGTCTGGGTCAGTCACCCGGACCAGAGATTTAGTCTTCCGAGTTTTCGTACTCATGCTGGAGCCCATCCTCAGGGAACTTATCTCTTTCCAAATGGATCAAATCATGCTTTGGACTACCCTATGAGACATAGAATAAGGGTGTCCCACAGGACAAATGGGCAGATAATAAGCTCCTAGGAGACATCTATAGAGTGGGCTCATGGTTCTCCATGTCCTTTTCCATTAAAGCTGAACTCTTACGTTTGGCCAAAGCATCCTTTCCAGCAACACTCCCCTCCCCCCAATATGTGAGGGACAGCTCTGATGTGTTACACCATAGGGTGCTTTGGCTTCACTGTAAGAAAATGATACATTGAAATTGGAGAAGATCCAATTTCTATAGTGGAGAGAGGCCATTCAGTCCACCTACCTATTACGGGAAGGAGGGAATGTTTACAGAAAATTGCACATCACAGACGCCTTATTTCTTCTTTCTCAAGTGTGTGTTTGCTGAGATTGCCTTCTGACTTGTCATTCTGAGACTGGGGACCAAAGTGTTCCCTCTCACAGGAAGTAACTTCAGAACTAATCTAGATACCGCTTCCACAGCAAATGGGTGGGAGATATTCTATTCTAGATTCCATAGTTCTTGTCCTATCCTACCTAGCAATTCTATTACTTTGTCTGACCTCAGCCTGTCATGCCATTTTTTTTTTCACAGGATACGTTTTCAATCTATGCTGTATGTAGTATCCAAATTACGACATTTATTTGTTTTCAACAACTCTTTACAGGCCAGCTCTGGAGTCAAGCAGTGGAACAAGCGCTGGTTTGTATTGGTGGATCGCTGCCTTTTTTACTACAAAGGTATGAGGAGATTCAAGTTTAAAATTAAATATTAAAATTATATTTAATTATATATTAAAATATAAAGATATAAGGAAACTCCCAGATGCCAAACATAGTTTGAAAGCAATGGCAGGAATGTATGCATTCATTTTCTGTATATCTTATCAAACTAGATTTTCACCTTCACGCCCTCTATTGAGGAACAGTACTGCTATTATAGGAGAGACTGGTTTATTTTTTTATCTATAAGGGATGCAATATTTTCATGGTTTAGGAGAGATAGGAAAGGCAATATTTCTGTTGTGACGTAGGCCCAAGGAGTTATTACCTGTTGTGGCCCGCCAGCGGCCTGCGCGGATCGTGGCTGATCCCAACGAGGAGGCTGGTGTGGGGTCATGCCAGCAGCCTGCGCAGCCGGTGCTCACATCAGACAGCGAGGAGGCTGAAGAGGATGTGGTGCCAGGGCCTTCAGAACCTCCAGAGGCTCCTTCAAGTGGAGAGAGCGAAGTGGAGGAGCCTCTCCTCAATGCGTGAGCACGCAGGGCTGCCAAAAGGCAGGAGTGGCTACTCAGGAGGAGGAGGTCTCCTTGAGAGTAAGGTTTGGGGATAATTGGCCACTCCCTTAGCCTATTTAAGTCGCACGCAGTTAGTAATTTCTTGCTGGAAACAACAGAGCATTTTGGAGAGTGAGTGTCTTATCGTATCTTGTTTTCTGGGCTGGTTGCCAACCTTTGCCAGACTTTGTTTATTTTTGGTACGTTATAACTTTGATAAGGACCGTTGGTGTGTGTCACAATCCTTGGGAATCCAGAGCTGGGGCAGAACATTACCAGACACAATCAGTCCTAAAAACATATTTTATTAGAACAGCTGAGAATTACTTCATTCTCAGCTTAGTCCAAATTAAGTCCAAATTAAGTCCAAAACAAATTCTTAATAAACAGTTCTTCGGCCTTATCACCAACGGTGACTTCTTTGGCACCCTGTCAAAAGCTTTTCTTGGCAAGAAGCAAGAGATTCTGACACGAAACAAATGTAGCAAGACAAGAGATAATTGTAGCAACGTTGTTTTCCTACAAAGATCCCAAGAGCCGTTGCTGCTCTTTTAAGCCTTCTGGGAGGGGCCAATCATCTCCTGGCCTTACTCCCGAGTCGTTCTTTTTGCTTTAGCTGCTCTTGCCTTCTGGCAGCTCTTCGCATGTGTGCACTAGGAACGGGCTCCTCCTGTTCCTCTGCCTCTCTGCTATCCGCCTCTGGAGGCTCCAGAGTCCATGCATCACTCCCAGATGGCCCTGGCCTCATCTCTGCCTCCGATGCAGAGCCCTTGTCCGGGCTTTCCCCTGACTCCAGGACTGGCCAATTGTCCTCCCAGCCTCCTCATTGTCCAACTCCGCTGCCAGCTCCACAGTCTGCTGGCAGACCACAACAATTTCTTCAGTATGTACTTGAGAAATGCCATTCTACACCATGATGTGTAATAATTGTTGCCAACTGGATGGTTGTAAAGGAGACAACCCCACTCCTTTGATGGTAATTACAGAGGGCAGCCTACAGTTCTATGGTAAAATACTACTGGATAACCCATGACCCATTGAGTCATTGTTTCAGAGAAATTTGCTTACTTAGACAGACAAACCACTATGACCATGGGTGGACAAAAAAAAGCAGTGGGAGCAGGAGCAAGTTCCAACTTCCTGCCAGCTTCCCCATTGACTTTGCTTGTGGGAAGGTAGCCAGGAGCATCGGAAGTTATGATAACATGACCTCAGCGATTCGACAACTGCAGGGCAGTATGGTGACACTGCAGTGGACACAACTTTGCCAGTGCAAGTGGTATGAAGATCCTTGAAATTTCAGTCCCCACAATGGGCCTGATGCCTTTGGATGCATTCTTTAAGTTAACCCATTGGAGGTACCTTGATTCAAAAATAGTTGCTCTCTGATGCATGCTTCCTGCCAATTGTGGATTACAATTAGACAGACAGGAGAGTTGAAGTACAAGTGAAAAGTGTAGATGTGTTACTGAATTTATGTCTCAGCTGGCTGCCTGTTACCTAGCTGGCCACTATGAAGGTAGAATGCTGGATAAGATGGTCCTTTGATCTGCTGTAGCAGGATTCTTATGTTTTTGTAATATTATTTTGCAATAATGTACTTTAACTCTTTCTGGCCAAACAATATAATTTTCCAGCAATACATAGGAATAATTTCTCAGATTAGTGATTACCCTCCCTTCCCTTCCCTACCCTCCCTCCCTCCCTCCCTCCCTCCCTCCCTCCCTTCCTTCCTTCCTTCCTTCCTTCCTTCCTTCCTTCCTTCCCCAGCAAGTCCTTAGCTATTTTATCTAGCAATTAATTTTCCATTTTGCAATACTGCAGTTGAATGGCTGAATCTATAAGGTCAAAGGCTCAAGGTCCTAGACCTGCTCTTCCAGAAATCTCCTGAATCTTCTCACTCTACCCTCACCTCCACTTTGAGGGAGCTTGATAATTAGAATCTGTGCTGCCTTTTGTGGCAATTAAATGCTAAAAATATTTTAAAATGAAACAATTTTAATAGTGTCATTTCTTGCTATGTTGTACAGAGGGATGTGGCAAGTAGTTTCAGCCTTTTCTTCTCCCCATGGGAGATAAATTAATCTCAAAGAAGATAAGCAAAATAAAATAAAATACCTTTTAAACTTTAAATACCGTATTCAAAATACAAGCATTCAGTTTTGGAGGAGATAAATGCCACCTGATTAAAAAGAAAAATATAAAAAGATTGTGATGCTTGGAGCCAGCTACAAAAGGATTCTAGTCTGATGCAAATAGGAGTTTCTCTTGCAGAGTCTCAATTTACTACCAAGCTCAAGGAAGTTATAAATACAGACAATATCTTCATAGTCTGAAAAATAGGATAAAGTCTAAAAGTAGGGAGAATTTCCTCAGTAATAATAGGTAATTTTTATATGTGGCATGATATTTCTAGTAGTCTAGCAATGTAATTAGTTCTCTAAAACAGATGATTTGGGTATTCTTGTTGTTGCCCTTTCACAAACTTTGATTGATTGATTGATTGATTGATTGATTGATTGATTGATTGATTGATTATGTGTCCTCAAATAGAAATTTATCATTCTGTGTAATATCCTGTTTTCCTTTGGACTTACTGGAACAATTAAGATCTGACAATGAAGATGCATGCATGACATTGCAGTGCATATATATTTATTTAATTTATACACAGCTGTCTACTCTGACTCCATGTCACCCACAACCAATGCAACTCTTTTATTTTTCCATATTCTGCCTGCCAAATTGTGAGCCCAACAATATCAGTATGAATAGCTGTCCTGTAACCTTTGGTTCTCACAGTCCTGCTGCCTGGGCCTTTTCTCTGGTAGCAGATGGAAAAGATGATGATCCTGAATAATTAACTAGACAGTATTGTGAGGTATAACTGTAACTGAGATGCATACAGGGATATGTGAGCGCTTGCTAGTCTGAACTGGAGAGAAGAGCAAGCATGAATGCATCAGGGCAAGGGGGGCACCTTTCATAGGTAGATAAATAGTTTATTTAATAGATAAATAGTGATTATTTTCAGGTCTTTCTTCCTGCCTGCCTGCCTGCCTAGAAATTACCCTATGCCCCTGGATTGTTTCTTAGTTGCAACGGTGATGAAGTAGATGGATGTCCATTTTAACAATTGTTAACTAAGATAAAGGAGTGTTGTCTAATTCTTTGTCCCTCCCTTTTTCTATCATGCAGATGAGAAGGAGGAAAGCATCTTGGGCAGCATCCCACTTCTCAGTTTTCGAGTGGCAGCTGTCCAGCCATCGGATAACATCAGCAGGAAATATACCTTTAAGGTCAGTAAAGAGAAGAAGTGGTCCTTGTATAGTGTTCATGAATGTGTAAATAGATTTTGTTCTGCTAGTAGAAATGTTTCGTAGGCTAACAGCACTATCTGAACTGGACCAAGTAGAAACTTTATTTAGAGGGGAAACAGCATTGTATCACACCCTTAAAATCTAGTTGGATTCCTAGAGTATACATTTGTACCTGCATGTATGATGTCAATGTACTGAACATGTATATTCTATGAGATCCTAAATCCTACGAGATTTAGCTCCAAATTCATTCTATCCTCCTTTCACTTGATGGATATTAATTCCTGTGAGTCTAGATTTGGTCAAATAGATCATATAATGTTTATTGAATAAATCTAGAGAATTGAAAGATCTTGTGGGACAGATTACAAAATATGTGTTCATTTAGAGATGTTTGAAGATTGTTTCATATGCAAAAAAATGCAGTATACGCTTTCTTTTCTATCTCTTCTCCTTATTTTTCTTTTTGTCTATCCACCATCTTTTTCTTACTTTTTTCTCAGTAGGTATTGCTTTTATGCTGCAAAAAAATTCTTAATAAAAATAAATTTTAACAAATTTCCAGTACACTCAGTGAAAATTAATTACTAGATGTAAGTACGTGCACATCTACATGTTACATATATCACGTACTTTTCTTATTGCCATCTTGCCCATTGTATTGTTCCCTAACTCCTTTCTACTCATTGAAACCGCTTGCTCTTCAGATGTTTCAAAACTGTCCTGTGTAATATTTGTTCCCTTTTTAATGATGATGAATTGGTTTTGATTGGAAACCACTAATACATGAGTTTACTTTGTAAATCTTCCTACATGTCCTACATGTGCACATACGTGTACTACATGTGGTATATATTAAAAAAGTTGTACTTAAAAATGGCACAGGGACTCCGAAGGTAAACATGTTTTTCAGGACAACTTGGCTGATACCATTGCATTAGACAGGATCTCAGAGTGTGTATATATATATATATATATATATATATATATATATATAGTTAATATAGAGTGTATATATATAAATATATATATATATTTGTTTTCTGAGGTTTTCGTGGGTGTTTGTATGTAGGTCTTTGGTTATTCGGGTTTTCTCACACGTAAAATTGGAGGTGTCTTGGCAACGTTTCGACGAAGTCTCATTCGACATCTTCAGGCTGGTGTTTTTGGCTTCGTGCTTCTAGGAGCAATGTGTGATTGCAGCTGTTTCTTCCTTTTAACTGCCAGTGGGGGTGTGAACTGATTGGGTGGGAGCTTGGCTGTGTTCTGATTGGGTGGAGGTGTGTTCTGATTGGGTGGGGGTTTGGCTGTGCTCTGATTGGATGGGGGGTTGGCTGTGCTCTGATTGGATGGGGGTGTGTTCTGTTTAGGTGGGGGCTTGGTTGTGCTTGGGTTAGTCTGAGTTGCAGGGGGATTTGAGCTGGTGAGCTGTGTTGCTGTTGTTTGGCTTCACATTCGTGGTCATGCCACATCTTCATGGTGGGTGTCAGTTTGCTTCATGTATGGATTGGAGGGGTTTAAAGTGGCTAATGATGCAGCTGTGGTCTGGCTTCTGGTTTGTGGTCATGCCTCATCGGTGTGGGTTTGCTTTTTGCGTGGATGTGTGGTGGTGACATCCTGTGTGGTTTTCTGTGGGTCTGGTGTCATTCTTTGTGTTACAGGACATGATATTGACTTTAAAAAGACTAGAACTATCACCAAAACTGAACACTTTAACAACAGAATAATCAGAGAAGCCATTGAGATAAAAAAACACCCACACAGCATGAATAAATGAGATGATACCTCCCGCCTACCAGCCATTTGGAAACCTGCCCTCATTGACAAATGAGTCCCTAACACAAAGAATGACACCAGACCCACACTCACAAAAACCACACAGGATGTCACTACCACACATCCACGCAAAAAGCAAACCCACACCGATGAGGCACGACCACAAACCAGAAGCCAGACCACAGCTGCATCATTAGCCACTTTAAACCCCTCCAATCCATACATGAAGCAAACTGACACCCACCATGAAGATGTGGCACGACCACAAGTGCGAAGCCAAACAACAGCAATGCAGCTCACCAGCTCAAATCCCCCTGCAACTCAGACTAACCCGAGCACAACCAAGCCCCCACCTAAACAGAACACACCCCCAACCAATCAGAACACACCTCCACCCAATCAGAACACAGCCAAGCTCCCAACCAATCAGTTCACACCCCTACTGGCAGTTAAAAGGAAGAAACAGCTGCAATCACACATTGCTCCTAGAAGCATGAAGCCGAAAACACCAGCCTGAAGATGATGAATGAGACTTCGTCAAAACGTCGCCAAGACACCTCCAATTTTACGTGTGAGAAAACCCGAATAATCAAAGACCTACATATATATATGTGTGTATATATAACATCTTAGAGAAGAGTATCATATTTCCAAATCAGTAGGAGTTCAGTAGGAATTATTCTGAAGTAACGTGCCTAGATTTTCAATATTTGTAAGAAAACAAAAACCATGAAAGTACAATATTGATCTTCTCCGAACTTCAGTATTGATGACAAGATAGCCAAAATTTATTTATTAATAATTATTGTGCTCTCAATTCATGTTCTGAAAAAAATTATAATGGTATAATAGACTATTCACATAGATAATCAACATGGATGGGATGGGTAGATCTAGAAATATAATTTTTGACTTCATCCTACAGTTTATAGAAATATTATTTTACATCATGTCCTATTGCTGTAATATTTGAACCTACATTTTCCCCTAGCATTTTGAGACAACTCTCTGAGGGCTGTCCATGAGCTAAGATGCAAGGACTAGTTTTCCCAAGTTCAATGAAAGCCAAGTTGACCATTCAGTTTAAAGCTCAGAAAGCACTAAGTATGAGCCCAGTTCTGCTTTAGCAACCCATTCACAGTGACCACCTTTGCTCTTGGTGTGCTTTGCCTGCTGATATTCCTCCCCATTGAATTGCTTATTGGGTGTGGCTGATCTGTTCTCTGTCTTCCCTGTTTTTCTGTGTGAGGATCCCCTGGACAGGAGATCTCTTCTGATTACTGGTCTGCAATACATCACCCAGCCACCAAATAGGTAGTGTTTTCCTTCTGTTTCCAAATGCATGCATGCATGCCAGAAAGGAAAAATGAAGTACCAATGATAAAAATGATCCTGCATGCTTTATTCACCTGCAATCATTCCCAAAGGAAATTGTGGTGGGGGAAATTTTGAATCCCTTTGTCTAATGAAATACCTAGAAGTATTTTTTTAAAACCATGGAGAATACTGGAAACCCAGAGCTATATAAACAAACCCCACTGAGGATGTAGATCTTGAAATCATTACTGTTATATGACTTGCACATACATAAATGTTCATATTATGGGTTTCACTCACTGATTTGTGGAAAATAATATCGAGCTCAACAAAATGAAAGTCAAGAAGGTATGTAGTAGTTAATGAGTGGCAATTAATTGTGAGACAAAACTGATGGGTAAATATAAACAAAAACTAAATTATGCTATTCATTCTCTACTGTGAATATTTAATGTACATAATAAAATATGTAATATATGAGCCCAATTGTGTGTGTTATATTGATCAGTAAATTTCATTAAAAGATCTGGATTTTTTTTTTCCAGGATCATTGAAACAGGCACACTACAAATGAGCTGGTTATATTCAGACAAAGAATTTGAATTTAGCTAATTCTAGAAATACTTTGATCTGGATTTGTAGCCCCATAGGATTGTTTTAAACAGAATGTGGTTGCCTCTATTGGTATTTTTTATATGCATGACTAGTCTTTTTATCCTAGTCTTCAGAAAAACTGTGGTATTACCGTGTTTCCCCCAAAATAAGACCCTGTCTTATATTTTTTGAACCCCGAAATAAGCGCTTGGCCTTATTTTCGGGGAGGTCTTATTATTTTGGGGCATGTGGAGCAAGATGGGGCTCCTCTTGCTGTCTTACCTGATTTCTAGCTCTACGTTTAAATATTTTTTGGGAGGGCTTATTTTCGGGGGGGAGGCTTATTTTAGTGCATGCGCTCAAAAGCCCGACTGGGCTTATTATCAGGGGATGTCTTATTTTAGGGTAACAGGGTAGTTCATGAGCAAGCTTTATTTAGGCTCAAAACATCCATACAGCAAATTACAAATATAATCTAAAACTTGGCAGTTTCAAAAATAATCTTTCCTTTGTGGGTTTTTTTTATCTGAAAATCTTCAGCTTTTAACATATTGAAACTCAGGAATGAAGTACATACAGTAAAAGTCTCTGTGTGTGATTTCCTAGACTCTGTTACATTTTAACCTGATGAAGAAATGGTTCATGCTGGGGAAAGTAAACAGAATATCATGCACTGCACAGCTGAGAGCAGTCAAATTTTGTCTATGTCCCAAATGCTGAGATAGCATTGTTAGGGAAGATTTAGTACTCCCTTTAGTGATTTCTCTAAGCCAAGAACTATGTCTGTTGTGAAATTGTAATCTTATTAAAAATCTGCAAGGAAATGGAATGTGAATACTTCTCTGTGGAGAATTCTTAGCATTGACATTCAAAAATCACTCTACCACTACTTAATCTATCCCTCCTTAATTTTTCCCTCTGATAAGAAAAAAGATGGCAGAAATGATGGGATAACATTGAAGTGTAACAGGTGGAAGATCACACTATCTGGAATGCTGTGAATGAAGATGTTTACAAAAATTAGGAAGTTTGAGAGATCTTTCTTCCTTGTTTGTGTTAGGAAGAGATATTGAATGTCTTGGAACTATTCCCAAAGCAGTAAATTTGTATTATCTGAAGTTTAATGTTGGCAGGTTTATGTTAACTCTTTCATTATTTTAATTTGGATCAATAAGTTACAACAAGCCATTTCACAGTAGGTTTTGTTCTCCCTACCATAAAAATGATTATCAAGGAGTTTAGCAAAGACAATCTGAGTAGAACCAGTATTTTGCATGCTTTTCCACTTACACTTTTTGGCTTATGCATGTCGTGCAAGGGGAGAGCTTTCATCCATGGTGCTGGAGAGCCAGAGGTGGTATCTTTGTATTAGAATTAGTGGAATTGGTTTGTGCTAAATTTTGAAGAGGATAATCTTCCTTTTAAAGGATGGTCAGGATTACTTTTCTGTTTGAAAGCAGTGTCTATTTGAACAAATCCAAAAATTGTTTAAAGATAAGAGCTGACAATCATGAAATGAAAATTTAGTGAAATTATAATGTTCCTAAGGGAAAGAAAACAAAATTGATTGCTGGTGAGTAAACTCTCTAGACACTTACTGGGATCTTTTTATCTCCCTTTCTCTCTTTCTATTCTTCATTTCTGCAGGTAACTGTATGTTGGATGGAAGAGATGCCACGAAATCACAAGAAGTCATTCTCTCCTCAGGCTGAACATGCTGGCATCCGGACCTATTTCTTCAGTGCTGAGAACAATGAGGAACAAGAATCCTGGATTCAAGCCATGGGCGAGGCTGCCCGGGTTCAAATCCCACCTACTCAAAGGTCAGTTGATCAAAAGATGGGTGGCAGGATTTTAGAACTGGTTGTGGACATTTCACTCTGCTGAATACACTATATAAGGGTGTTGCATCTATTGCTAAGTTCTATTTTATTTTAGATGAACTTGGAAGATGCTAGTGGCATGGCTAGTAAAATACTAACAAATGCATTGTCTCATATGGCATCATTCTATAGCTGTAAGGTTCTTTCTTCAGTGGAATTAAAATAATTGCTTTAAGACAATGTGAAAATGGTAGGTTCATGAGAAAGTTCAATCCATAATAACTTAAACTGTTATATCAGATCTGCAAGAGGATGGTCAGAACCCACAGTAAACTAGAATCCCTTGTTTAGGATATGCCAATCCTAAAATATAGTAATGAATGCACTTATGCATTCTTCTCAGGCATGAAAAGACTGACTGTGAGAACCTTCCTCCTAGCAAAAATCATCATCATCATCACCAGCGCAGTATCCTTACCAGGGAGCTTGCCAAAGCTGAGTTGGAAGCAAAGACCAGAGGAGAAGGTGATGGACGTGGTTCCGAGAAGATTGAAAGAAAACCAGAGCGTGTTGCAAATAAGAAAGAGGCACTGGTGAAAACCAATGGCATTGCCAGTCAGGATACACCCTCTGAGCCCGGAAGCCCTTATCCAGAAGCAGCTCGTGTGCCAGCTGGAGTGGAGAGAACCCCACAGCCAAATGGTTGGCAGTATTCATCTCCAACTCGTCCTGGCAGCATGGCCTTTCCCCAGCATGATGGGGATACTGTTATCTCTCGTCGGAGCTTCGCACCTCGCACTAATCCAGAAAAGATTGCTCAGAGGAAAAGCTCCATGACCCAGTTGCAACAGTGGGTCAATTTGCGACGTGGAGTTCCCCCACCTGAAGATCTCCATAGGTGAGTTGTTTGAACACATGAGATACAAAAAATAACACAGATAACTTTTTTAAAAAATTTTTTTGTTTTTTTTAGAAACACCTCATTAAATACTGAGAAAAAAGTCTATGTTGCAGATTTAAATTGGTACCTAAGGTCCTGAAATATGTTGGCATTTTATACTTGGTACCACTCCCTCTTCCCCAAATAATTGTCCATGACCTTAATACACGAGGCTGTAACAATTTCAGTTTCTTTTCTGAAAAAAAAAAACCCATCATCTTCTCTGGGTGCCTTGGAATATGTTATTTTAAAAATTCACAATTGGTTTATATTTAGTGTTCTTGCATCCAGAAGAGCAGAAAAAGTATTTGGTAAGCAAATATTTAGCTTATTTACCAAGTGTTCCTGATCATGGAATGAAGTAATTATTATTATTATTATTGTATTTTTTTTTTAAAAAAATTGTTTGTCAGCTGCTCCTTTTAGAAAGTTTTCAGAGTACTCTGTAGGAATAAACATAGTCCAACAATATAAATATCGAGTGAGAGAAAATAAATACTAGCAAAAAAGCACAAAGAGATGAATATCTTTCCACTGTTAAGTTTACTTTTTGACATATGGACAATGAACTTTACTGATTTGGGGCAGTTCAGTGATCCAAATCTACAAGTCACAGTTTTAGCCCAAGTACCAAAGCAGCTTTTATCCTAATTGAACCTTATAAAGTTCAGCTTTCACATGTTATTTATCAAAAACTGACATATGTATGTATACTGTGCTACTCAAGGAGGTAGATCACGTGCAGGAGAGGAAACTAGGAGGGTTTAACAACCTTAATTATGAAGAATAAAAAATTAAGAAACACAAGCAAACAATGTAGTGAAACAATTGGAGACAAAATACACCATTAAGGCTTAAGACAAAACTGCAAATTTTGCAGCTTCTCCCAGTTTTACACATAGAAATCTATGAAAAATATATCAGTACTGTTCAGCAGATGGTAGGCTGAGATTAACATAGTTATAGAAAATCCTAAAACCCCATACCAAATGTTTACCTTTCTTGTTTCTTTTGGGACTTGTAGCCCCAACAGATTCTTCCCAATGTCTCGGAGAGTACCTGATTATTACCCTCCCTATTCATCCCAGTACTCGGAGGATTACCAGTACTATCCACCTGGTGTGCGTCCTGACAGTATCTGCTCTATGCCTGCCTATGAACGTGTGAGCCCTCAGTGGGCTGTGGAGGACAAGCGCCACCCCTTCCGCAACAGCAGCTCATTCCAGCTGCGGGAGTGGAAAGAACAGCCCGGCTATAGCAGACAAGATATGCCCATCTGGATCCCAGGCCCCACACGGCAGCCAGTGTACTATGACGAAATGGACGCTGCCTCAGGTTCCCTCCGCAGGATGTCCCTTCAGCCTCGTTCGCGATCAGTCCCCCGCTCACCAAGTCAAGGATCCTACAATAGGGCCAGAGTCTATTCTCCAGTAAGGTCACCCAGCGCCCATTTTGAACGAATGCCTTCTCGAAGTGAGGAGATATATGCCGAGCCATCGACTTACATGATGAGACGATCTGTCAGTTCCCCAAAGGTAAAGTTCCTTTGAAGCTCCCCTCCTCCAAATAGATTTCAGTAGATACCCAGCCAAGTGAGGGTGGGAGGGGGTATAAGTGATTTTAATAATAATCTTATCTCAATATTTTATTTATTGTTTGTGCCACATAGCAGAGACTATTGAGGAGGGAAGATGTTGCTGAACATGAAGGAGATTTATTGATCAGTCATGTCAAGAGACAACTGATTAAGAATTGGAGTAACGGCAGGAATGAGCAGTGTCATTTCTAAGCAATACTTACAGAAGCTGATCTTAAATTACATTCCCTATTATAAACTGATTATTCCTCAATCTCAGATATATTAAGGCTGTTTTAAACCAGAGGTGGGGAACTACGGCCCTTTTATGACTTGTAGCTGGCTCAGGAATTCTGGGAGTTGAAGTCCACAGGTCATAAAAGGACCATAGTTCCCCACCCCTGTTCTAGACATTCAGAAGCAGGAGCATTTCAGCCTGCAAATCCTCTAGCACCATCTGTTCTTAATTCTACTTAACTCAGAAATAAATATAAGGGATCTGTGCTGAGCCCTAGTTCAAGTAAAATATAAGGTATAACACTCTAGCAGCCGAAATGTGGTGCCAAAGTGGCAAGTTAAGGCTGAGGGAAAGTGTCATGTTAGTTGAATTGGGAGGGCAGTAGATTAGACAAGTTTTTGATCTAAGACTTGAAGTGTTCATCTTTGTGGCTACACCCTATGGCTTGATGAATATGATTTTCAAAACAAATTAGAGAGTGTCAATGGAAGTGGAGAGCAAATCATCCCAGGAATGAAGTAATATTGTAATACAGATTTCAAAGTAGCTCCTCTTATAAAACCAGCCTTTTGTCTTTTTGTCCAGACTTCAGTTTCAAGGAGTTTCTATAAGTGATTAATTCATCACCACTTTAGTTAATGGCCTTTGATATTTTTTTTCTTCCAACAGGAAGGTCATTGTTATTACTAGATTATTAACATAAGGAAAATATATCTCACACACATTCCTTTTGTTTGCCCAGTATGATTACCTTGGTGATAGAAAGCCTGTTCCTGCAGGAATGTTTCCCTTCAACTATCCAGCATCCCCTACAGTCCATGATAAAATGGTAAGCGACAATGCTATCCCATTCTTTCTCTAGCGAAGGTGTTTTTCTTTCCTAAAGCTATCATTTAATTCAGAAGTGGAATAATTGCTTTAGCAGCAAAGTTCATTAGGGTTGGTTATGAGACCAGCCTGGAGGCATCATGACTACGTGAACAGGTGGAAAATTTTAATCATTAGCCTGACTGCTGATGATTGGTTGATCATAGTTTGTATGTGTTTTCGAAGAGCAAAGAAGGAATTGAGCGTGTGATTTTTAGAGAAAGAAAAAAAAAAAACCATGCATCTACTCAGTCGTTATTTATTCATTCAGTTGAAACCAGTGTTTCATTAACATTACCACCCAGGAAGAGTTGCAAGGAGATATAGAATGTGAAGTCCAATATGTATAGAGAGAGCGAAGGTGACTTTGATGGGGATACCCAAGCTCTGTTCCCAAAATGACGAGGGGCAAAACATTGTCAAAATCCAGAACATCCATATAACATTTGGAAATGGCACAGACACCTCCCTAATTCACCGACTCTAAGAGAGAGGAGGAAGTTCAGTATATCTTGCATATCTCCATCAAGATTATCTTCCATACTTTAGGGAGGAATAGACCACCTGTTTAACAACTTGGTTATTGAGATGTATCATTTCTTGCTTCTACCTCAAAGTGAAGGAAAATTTGCAATTAAGTCACAGATCGCATAGCAAAGCTGTTTGCATGTTGAAGATAATGGCTCCACCAATGGCTTTCATTATATGAGCTGTTTATTCTTGTTGCTCATTTCAACCAAGTATTTGCCTTGTCTTCAGGGTTGGTCCACTTCTATGGGTGATCTCTAGATGGAAAAATACTGCTTTATTCCCTGTGACAAGTAGCATCTTCCCAAAGGCTGAACACCCATAAATACTTCTGGTATTGTATATGGGATATCATTCCGAAATTAAGATGGTATCCCAAAGAATTGAGAATGCAAAAACCGAGGAGTACTAATCCTCTTTAATTCTTTATTGTCATTCTCTGTATCACAAAAATAATTAGAGAGTCAAAAACTGAAGTGGAAAAATACACGGTAAAACCTCTGTTTCCCCTTATTGGCTATTTTTATATGCTGTTTTTCCTTGGTCATTCTAATTCTCTCTCTGTTTGGTTATTCCACTGCGGGGGAGGATCCATGTGGTGGGGGCAACAAACACTGTGAATGGGACTCTGCCAAATGAAAGTGCCAACTTCATTGCTCCATGCCACGTTTTTTGACCCTACCTGACACCTGAAAGCAACCAGTAAATCCTGGACTGGATTTAAGGTGCCCTGTGGAACAGACTCTAGTTGCACGCTTGTTGCACGTAGCTTCTTCCCTCACTACCCCTGCTTTTTCACCAGCTATGCACAAAAGCAGATGCATGCGGCTGAACTAAAAATGCAGTGAGATGAGTTTGGTATCATTAAGCGGGTCAGGAACATTCTTTCTGATAACAGATGCTCTGTTTCCAACCTCAGCCTTTTTTTTTTTTCCTCTCCTCTGACAAGGGCCATATTCTTGTACTATCTCTGAAGCTGCATGACCGCAGTGGATTGTACAGAAGCATGTTGTGATGGAGCCACACACTTTTTTTTCCTGTTGTCCAGTTGATCTGGGCATGATGGGTCAGTTCAGAGTTCATCATATGTAAACACCATTGTACCTGCTGAGCAAAAAACAGAGGAAAGAGACATTTCAACATAGCCCTTTGCTTTCAAGGTTACTTCTCCTGTCTTACAGGGGAAAGCGTTGAATGGTATCTGCAAAGATGTTGATCTTGGCAGCAAATGTAGCCTCAACAGCAAGAGTAGAGGAATCGCTCTTGAGGTCCTGAATTCAATTAACAACACATGTGGACTCAGAAAACTGTCTTTTGAAGGGGAAGGAGTAAAGACTTGTATTGTGATATAACTTGATCAAATGATATAACTTGATAGCCTGCCAAACTCAGGCCGTATTAAACAAGATAGAATGACCTGGATTAGATTAATGTGGTCACTCTGTTAATGCTCAGCCATACAATAAGATGCAAGCAAGGCTTGGGGACAGAGCATTGATGATAGTTCTGGGCTATCGGGATCTCTGAGAGTCCCTGAAATAAATGTTATATACTTCCTGATCTGAAAAGATTGCTGAACCACTATTCTTCACTTATCTTCTCTCTTTAAAAGTGCTTGGGAGTCTGTGAATGTTCCCTTTGCTGTATGGGGAAAGCTCTTTGCCTGTCTCTAGTTAAGCTGCACCTAACTGCTTTTGCTTCTTCTTTGTGTTCGTTGTTTTTGTATGTTTGTGTTTCCATTTTGCCGCATGCCTAATGGCTCCTGATAGGATGAACTTTTAGACCTTCAATTGCAAAGAAACCTAGAGTATTTGGACCAACAGGTAGGCTAAGCTGGCTGTGTTCTCCCTCTCCCCACTCCATTCAGCCTTGGCTCTGCCAAACCCATCTCCCTCCAGTCCTGTTGTTGGACCTGTGTCATCCTCCCTTTTCTGCACCTCCTTCCCTTTCCCTAAAATATCTTGACCCTGTGCTAGCACTATTGATTCTGAGTTTGTGTTACCCTTTCTTGTGTGAGAGCAATGCCCAGAGATGGGCAGCACAAAAATCCAATAAATAAATATATAAAAATAAATAAATGTTTCATTTTAGGAGGCTAAAAAAAAAAGAAGTACATTGCTTGTCTAGAGATCTGTAGATTTCATATGCTAGAATACATGTTTCTTTAATGCATTCCTGACTACAGAATGTTTACATAATATTCTGACTAGATTTTCTAGCAGAATTCTGCCGAAATATTCACATGGGTGGAGGAATGTGGTATTCTTGGCAAATATTTAGTTGGGAAGTAGCCAAAGGGTGTACGTGAGTGTTGTGCCTTCCCTTGCATAATCATCTCTCCAAGGGAAGACATTATGAGGAGTGCCTCTCACTGAATATTTTTTAAAATATTACTAAGAGGGCATCTTGTCCTCAAGATGTTGTTGGGGAATTCCTTTTTTCCCTAGAGAATTTTTTAAAATCATCCCCTCAGTTTCTCTGCTCATAAATCTGGTGAAGAATTTCAAAAAAATGCCACAGACATTTCTTTGAAATGTTTTTCTCCTTTGAATGAAATGTTGAAATTCTTTTTCAGTTGAACTGATAAAAAAAATGTAGGAAAATTTCTTACTACTTTCTACTTCTATTTTTCATTTGACCTACACATGGATACATTCTCCTTCCCCTCAGAAGATTGGCTTTTAAAAAATTCATTATTGTCCTGGGGACATACCTCCCACCAAGACCAAAGGCAGATGTTTGTTTGGCTTACCTGCAAACTTACCTAGCAGGAGGTGTATTTAATGGCAGGGTTAAGCTCTTACCATTGCCCCAAGTGTCCTAGAGCTTCCAGTTTAGGAGCTGTGGAAGAAAAAAATGGTAGATGAATACCTAACCAGTCACTACTAGGGGGTCCTTGCTGCTCTCTGAGTTTGGTTTTCTTGCAGACATTTCATTACCAAACTAGGTAACATCATCAGTGCAGTGATGATATTATCTGGTTTGATAATGAAATCTTTGCAAAAAACCCACAAAACTCAGAGAGTACCAAGGACCTCACAGTTCAACTCTGAGCTACAAATATTCTCTTCTGTTGGTACAGTCTCTACTGCGCTTGCTAGTGGTTGAATGAAATCTAGCACTGGCTGTACTTTAAATGGTTTCTCTCTGATGAGAATAGCAACAGAAGCTAGCTAGAGTCCCCACTCATGCAGCTCAACAAGTATTTCCTGCATGCCTGTTTCTTGAAGCAGTTTATATGTTTGCCATATCCAGTTGGTAAAGCTTTCCTTGGATTGTACTCAGTGGTGGGATTCAAATAATTTAACAACCGGTTCTCTGCCCTAATGATTTCTTCCAACAACCAGTTCACCAAACTGTTCAGAAAGTTAACAACCGGTTCTCCCAAAGTGTGCGAACTGGCTGAATCCTACCACTGATTGTACTGCAAGAAGTAAGGAAGTTGACCTGAAGTCTGAAAGAATATTTATTTAGGAAATCCTGCACCATCTTGAGGTGTTTGCATACTCTTAAGACTAATATTATGTCTTAGCACTACACAAAAGAAGGGAGGGAGGGTTTTGTTTGTTTGTGTATTTGTTTTTGCAGTATGAACTGTCAAAATCCTGCTGTTCGCTTTTTAATGTGCTGGTTTAACAAATGGATCTATAGGTAATAGGAAAAAAAAGACTTTTCACCCAGAAGCTGAGATACTACAGTCCAGAATTCTAGCAACACATTTTATCAAATTAGGAAGCAGCAGCTGAGGAGCAATTTTGGATATCTCTTAATGTTTGAGGATCAGTGTAAAAATAAGAGGGATATACTCTGGGGTATTCAGCTGGGGTTAGAGCAGAGGTCTTCAAACTTGGCAGCTTTAAGACTTGTGGACTTCAACTCCCAGAATTCTGGCTATGCTGGCTGGAGAATTCTGGGAGTTGAAGTCCACAAGTCTTAAAGCTGCCAAGTTTGAAGACCTCCGGGTTAGAGCATTGGATTAAACCTGAAGAGATTCAAATTCTCAATTGCTTTTTTTCAGCCTAATCTACCTCACAAGGTTGTTATTATTACCATAAACTTATAATAAAAGGAAAACCTGGGTTCACCTCCACCCAACCCTGAAAATAAGATATATTTATTGTCCTTCACTTCAAAGTAACTGTGAGGGATGTGTACTAATTTGACAAATGTGCCAAAAGGATAGAAGTCCAAAGGTTTCTAAATCCCATTTTCTAGATTAACACTGCAACACACACTCACACACACAAATGTCAGGAAGGATAAATTTCAGTTTACCCATTCCCTAAATTGTCTCAGTAAATACTGGTATTTGTTTTAAAAAAGAAAGAAAAATTATTGGAAATCTAATCTTGAATCTCTAATGTTCTTCCAAAAAGTGAATTTGCATTTAACATCTAAATGCAAATTCACTAACATGTGCTATCAAAAGTTATGTATCTATGAAGCACAATGATATGCTAATATACACAACTTTGTGAAATTTTTGAGGTAGGCTGCAGGTATTAAGGTAAAGCAAGACTGAAATCACATTATATAATTGTAAATCATTTGCACATTAAGAAAATATTGATTGTTAAAAAGGCTTGTAGAAATGCATACTGTATAATGGAGAAAAATGTGCAGAAAACCACAATCCAGCAGGTGAAAATCCTGATAGATATCTATATATTAAGAATATATAGAATACATACATTCCTGTGATTTTCTTTTTTAAAATTGCAGTTTAAATCCAGGAACAGGACATACAGTAATAAAGTTAAGAATGTAAATGAATATTGTAGACTAAGTGAAGTTGAACTTTACAAAGTCACCCATCCTAGTTCTTTAAGGACACCGATGAATCTAAATTATTTTTATTCCTTCATTTTTCTGTCTCCTTGTTGTCATTTATCAGACATTGGATTTTCTACCTGTTCCTACAACTTCATGCATAACAATTTCTTCATTGCCAATAACTTTAGCTATTGGCAAGAAACATCGATCCTGCATCATTGTATTTCATCTTCCTCAATCAGAATTACTTGAAGCAAGCTCCAAGCAGATTGAATGAACTCCAGGCTGTATCAAAATCATTATGCAATGCCACAAATATCCCCATCAGAATTAGCTGCTATATTTGTTTGACTCAGCAGGAACTAAGCAAATTGATTTGTCCAGTTTGAACCATCCCCTCTTTTCCCCACCACCATTTCCGTCGGAAAGGTTGGAGACCTCTGTCCTATAGCACTGAGTTTCTGGATTCTTCACCTTTGCAAAACCTTTAATACTAACAGATTTATTAGGAAACATGCTTTTGTAGAGTGGATTGGAATATCAATCACCTTTATTAATCTTTTGGTCCCTCAAGATTATCTGCAGTTTAAATGTAAGCAGCATGAATTGTTCAAATATGGTATGCAGAATAATGGAGGCAAATAGAATAAAATATTTAAGATTACATTCCTGTACCCATGTGTATGCTACCAGAATATCTGGTATATGTATGAGAAAGGGGTGTGGTGGCCAAGTGACTAGGACACTGGGTTTGTTGAACAAAAGATTGACATTTTCAAGACCTAAGTCCCACGTGACAGAATGAGCTTCCATTACTTGCCCCAACTCCTGCCAACCTAGCAGTTCCAAAGCATGTAAATGCAAGTCGATAAATAGGCACTACTTCAGTGGGAAGGTAATAGTATTCTGTGTGCCTTCAGCATATAGTCATGCTGGCCACACAACTATGGAAGCATCTTCAGACACTTCTGACTCTTCAGCTGTTAAGTGGAGATGAGCATTGCCCTCTAGAGTCAGGCATGACTGGCAGGCAAAACCTTTATGTGTGTGTGTGTGTGTGTGTGTGTGTGTGTGTGTGTGTGTGTGTATGTATGTGAAGGAACAGGTGAATTCAGATTTGCTCACCACATAAAATCCAGTTTTTATCATAGCAACTGTATGGAAGGCTGTCTGCCCACTAGAAAAAAAAACACATTTAACTTTGGTAACTAACACATCAAGCAGATAACCCAAACAACCTTCCTTACAACTTAAATTTGAGATTCAGTAGTATTCTCAGCATATTATGTGGTATTAAGGTACAGTTGCTGACCTCTGAAAAACACCAAACAAAATCAAAGCTTTTTGAGAAAATGCTGGCAGAGAATTTCGACTGGAAATTAAAAAACATGATGGATGGCTGATACTAGCCTGAAAAATGCCTGCATGAATAAGTGCTAGTTCCAAAACCGATCTCATGTGGCCTCAGCATCAAAATCCACCACTATACAATAATATGTAAGGTGTGAGTGCCTAGGTTGGACTGAAACCAACCTGCTGGGTTACTACTCATAGTAGTGGGATTCTGCCCCTCTGTTTTCATTTTAAATTTTCTAAACCTTGCAACTTTGCAAACCCCTTTGCAGCTTTCCATCTTCTTCCACTTTGGACCATAGGAGAAAGATTCTACCATAGTCACCTACTGCATTCTGCTCCCGATTTTTTTTGTTATGCCCTGATGATTTGTGTTTTTAAGTGCTACTGATTTGGAATGTTTGTTTATGTTCCTTGTGAGCTGTATGAATATAGATGTAATCCTGTTTTGTTGAAGAATGAAAATTTATTCAAAGATATTCTTCTTACCTATCCTTGAGGTTTTGTTTAAGAAAGGATTATTTTATTATATATGGTTTGTTCTATAAAACCTATATTTAGAAGGAATTCAAAAAACGAGAGAGATACAGCCCTACATAAGTGCCTCCCCTTCCTCCAGGATCGGTCTAAATAACCTATAGTACCATATACAGTAGGATGTACACAAATAATGCTTTCTAAATGAAGAAAAATCTGTAGCTCAGGTTTCAACTGTGGATTTCTTGGTATTCTCTGAGCTTGGCTGTTTGCTAAGTAACATCATCAGTAGGAGACTTTCTACATCTCAATACTCCAGATTTAAATAATTTGTTCTGTTGAATTGTAACATTTATTTCTGAGAGGCAATATTGTAACTAGTCTGGCCATATACCTGAATAAAAGTCTATCCATCAATTTAAATGTTGAGGAAGTATGTGGGCTACTCTCTATTTTATAGCACTCTAGGTTTTTCCCAATGGAAAATGGAATAGGCAAAGATAACTGAAGGTACGATGTGGTGCATAAGATTAAAAGAAAGAGAGAGAGAGCTAGTCATAATTAGCAGCAGCTTTCCTTGGCTTTTTTTCCAGAATAGAAGCAAATTATTTGCTATAGCAACATCTATTTGCTTTGCTTGTTAAAGAAGTAAAATGCTGCTCCCAAAGTAAAATACTGAAGGGTAGAATACATAGCATTTCAACAACCACCTGTCCTGTTGAAATCTTCCTTTTTTGTACTATTTCTGTAACATAATCTTTGCCCACCAAGCCCTATTAGATCCACAGAGGAAATGGATTGCTCTAGAGTTTCCAAAGGACCTGTGACCAAAGCAATTCCATAGGAGAAAGAACCGTTTGTAACTTTCTTCCTTTCTTCCTTTTCTAAGTGGTAAATGACTATTTTGGAGGGGCCAAAAGAAAAAAAAATGCAGCAGATCCAAACATGGATCAGCTGTATTGGTACTCCAAATAAAATAATGGAGATGAAGTGGGTGGGGTAGGACAACATACATATATGTACACATACATAGTTTCCTCCCCCCCAACCCAGAAAGATAGCCCAATATGATTCCTCCAATATAATGTCCTTTATTTAAAACCATAGGATGGTGTCCTGGCCCAGTTGCGTGTGCAACTGACTTTGAATGGAGATGGAGAGGTTCTGGGAAAGACCAAGAAAGGTTATCCTGTCAGTGAAATCTAGTGCTTGTACAGTAAGGATTCTTGTCAGCTGGAAGGAGGCAGGATTGAGTCCTTCTCTCCAACCAGGCTCCGTTTCTCCGTGACTGCTATTTATATAACTCAATAAACATGTGCATGTAAATTGCAGCAAAGAATTGAAAGGAGACTGTCCACAATCTACCTTGATGAGGTCCTTTCTCTCATAGAGGATTGCCATTCTGCCTTGAGATGACGAGCTGCTTTCTGGAGGCACATCATTTCACCTCCACAAAGAATTAAGATGGGACCACTCTGCCCCAATTGGCTATTCCATTCAGAAGCCACTTATTATCAAGGGAACTGAAGTAGTCATTTCTCCCTGACAAAGAAAAATTCAGGGCCATTTTACTTAACAGCTTTTCATTGAAAAGACTCTTCAGTTGAAGTCTCAAGAAAGTTCACCACCCTTTTAAAGACCTGCATGGCCCTAACAATTATCATAAAGTGAGCTTCATTTTGGTACCTCTCTCTACTATAAGATCTGAGCTACGGATCCAGATATTTCCACATTTATCTTAGGGATGACACAAGTTTAAGCTTGAATGGAAATGACTCTGTCTCCATTAGCATCATGACTGTTTTTCCTTATCTGCCACAGATGAGCGAGAGCGAGACTTTGATCAGTATGGTGAACAGAATGGTGGAGAGCTCCTCTCCTAGGGCTCAACTGTACTTGCAAGTAAGACATCACAGCAGCTCTGCCATCAACCATGACATTCCAGCTGCTTTTGCATACAGCAGAACCATCCCAGTATCATTGTTTCATGCCTCACCTCCACAACCATCTGTGAGGTGGCCATTCAACTTTTCATCCTACCGTAGCATTTGTTTATAAATTCATCATGGCATCCGTGCCCCCTTGTGCTAGTGACTCCAATAGAGGAGGCTCTCTTAAAATGGTTTAAATCCATATATTTCTTTTGAGATTGATGAAAGCAACTCTGGTAATATACATCTTGTGCCAGCTCCTTTTCTCTAATGAAATTCTCAATATATGTATGTAAAAAATCTGGATTATAGCCGATAACCACCATTTTAAAAAATCCTTGTCAGGCTGTTTTCTGCTAGAGGAGAAAACCTACCAGTTGATTAGTTTTTTAAATGGAAAAAAAATCTTTGATATTATATTTACATAAATTATGGTACCTCTGGAAAGTGGTTAAGCATAGTAACATCTATAATTATATTTACATGAAGAAAGAGTAAGTTTTTCCACAGTAATTTACCCTTCTAATGGTAGAGTTGTCTTAGAGTTTTGTAGAGATTCTGTTTTTGTAGGCTTGCCATTGTTCATTTTGTATTGAGCAACGCAGTCAACAACAGAATAATTAGAGCTGCATTCCTCCCAATTACAGCCAGCCATCTACCATCAATCTCTGTCTTTGGCTTCAATACTTGTTTTGTCACTTTTAGCACTAAAATATATTTTTATGGGTTTGCACCACTATATAAGGAAAACAGCAGTTGAACATTAATTATAATTGCTGGTTAGATGGAATATATTTTGGAGCAGTCTGAATTCTGTTTATTATATGAGAAAGTGAATTGTTGTATATTTGATGATACATTATTATAAGCCCAGGGCAGGATACCTTATTTCTGTTAACAGCTGCATTCCTTCAAAGTAAGAACCACATACATGGTGGGTGGAACTGAAGCAAAACTATAGGGAAGAGGAGATGGGCACATTTGATCTTTCTTATACCCCTATGAGGGCGGGGCTTTTTGTATCCTCTTCCAAGATACAAGGCTTTGTAAAGAGGCAGATAGCTCTTCTTAGAAGTCTAAATTGGTCTCTGGCTGAAGGTTTTGTAAGTAGGTCATGAATCCTTGAGGGCTGTTATGTTGCTGTTCTCTGGCCTACTTGCATTGGAGAACCTGAAGATGGTTTTCAACCATTTTCCAAAAATAGATATTATTATGTTACATACCCTTCACAAAAATATGGGAAGATACTACAGACCAAGGCATTTTATTTATGTAGACAAGCAGTGACTTTTTTAGATTTCAGTGCATGTGAAATTCTTTTGTAATGATATTAAATGGTATTACAATTAGTAAAGAAATATGTTTTAAGATGTTGTAATAGTTAAATAAAAGCATGATGCGTTATGTTGTGGATGGGGTTTTTCTTCCCAGCAGCTCCTTTTCCGTTAAGGAAGTACATTCTAATCAGTTCCTGCAAAATATGTGGTAAGGTCAAGGAGTGTGATGGCTCAGTAGCTAAAGATGCTGAGCTTGTTAGCTGAAAAGCTGACAGTCCATGTTTGAGACTTGAGTGCCACCCGACGGGGTGAGCTCCTGTTAGTTGCTCCAGCTCCTGCCCACCTAGCATGCAAATGCAAATAAATAAATAGGTACCACTTCAGTGGTACTCAGTGAATACCTCAGTGCCTTCAGTGAGGCACTTGAAACAGTGTTTCAAGTGCCTCAGTGTACAGTTATGCAGGCCACATGACCATGGAAATTGTCTTTGGACGACGCTGGCTTCCTGGACTAAAAAATGGAGATGAGCACTGTGCCCTAGAGTCGGACTTGACTGGACAGGGGAAACTTTGTGTAGTAAGGCCATAATGGTGCAGAGCTTCATAACAACAAACCTGGATTCTGATGTAGTGGTGTATGTGAGGGTTTCCTGAATTGCTACTTGTTGGTCATGGGTCTCCACAGAGAGAGAATCTACAAGATGGCAGGTGGAGGGTTGTGATCAAAGCCTCAGTGCTTTGTACATGCATGGAGATGTCCAGAGAAAAGAGGCCAGATTCAATTGCAACACCACATCCATCATCTTGAGGATTTTGACTCTCCCTGCAGATCCTGCCATAATCTGTATTCTACTCTCATACTTGTTCATACAACTGGGGATAAGTGCAATTGGCAACTTCATTTTTCCAGAGAGGAGAAAACCCACAAAATTTGGGTTTGATTATGAAAACTTAGACCAAAAAGGCAGTGTTCAAAAAACCACCTCCTTAATCTGTTTGTATTGCATTGTATTGGTTTGCTTATAAATTTAGATCTGGCTATTATATAAAGCATCTCCATCGTGAAAAATATTGTCCAGATTTTTGCAGTTTTGAAACCAACAAGTAAATTAAGGATACAATCCATCTATAAAGATTCCATTATTGTGATTAAGTACAGGTTCTCAAATTAAACTAATACTAGTCTTTCTCTGCTCTCATTGAACACGCTTGTTAATCCAACTAAATCTAGCTAAAATTAGCCCCTAAAGTCAGCCCCTGACCTTTGCTCTTTCCGCCATGGGCTTAAAACATGGCTATTTTGCCTGGCCGGCTTGGACTGAAGGGGTTTTAGAGGGGATTTTAATGGTTTTTATAGTTTTATTGGGTATTTTTTTTTTAAATGAACTTTGTGTGTTTAGGGCAGTATAGAAGTTCAATAAAATCTAAATCTAATCTAATCTTTATTATTGTGAGCCGCCCTGAGTCCTTTCGGAGATAGGGTGGTATATAAGTCCAATAAATAAATAAATAAATAAATAAATAAATAAATAAATAAATAAATAAATAAATAAATAAATAAATAAATAAATAAATAAATAAATGTCATATTATCCTGAGCAATCTGTTTCTAATAAGTCAGGAATTTAACAATCTATTTATCAGCCATTTTCATCATATTGGCTTCTGCCTAGCATATAAAGTCATACACCCAGGAAGCCTTATGCAATGCAGTGTATATCCATAACAATTTCTATTAGGCCTACAAACCCCATCAAACAATCTTCTTGGCTTTTTGTGCTGCATTCTTGCTTTGTATATTAACTATGAGATGTATTAGTGTCTGTGTAGAATAACTCTTTTGCACCATAGTAGTTATGATAATTTTAAGGAACTTTTTTCCCCATAATCATCCTAAATTCTAGAGGGGCAGGGAGAATGGGCCATATCTTTAATTCTCTTTACAAATATAGATGCATGAAGGTAAACTATGGCTTTATCACATAATGTGCCTGATAGTTGCACACCTAGTACTCCTGTTATATAAAAGTGCTAATTTCTTCATAAATCTGAACAGTCATTATATAAAAAAGGAACATTTTGTTAGAACCCTGACTGTTCCTTCCTGTGTTGAAAGCAGAGTAGCCATTTTCTTTCCTTGACAAAGTAGAAGAACTGTTTTCAAAGACAGCAAATAATCTTTGGTTAGTTATGTGTTGCTTTTGAGAAAGGCTTCATGGAAAGTCTAATAGAGTTGTACAATCTGATAATGTATATGTGTATATTGTATGTATATGTAAAGGGTGGAGAGATCCACTAAGTAGTAGTAGTCTTGGATTTCCTCAGGGGATTATTATGACAACATCAAGGTAGACAGAGCAGCAATGACTTGTTTTTATTTTTTCAGGTGTCTCATTTCCCTGAAGCATATAGAGAGACGCTGCACACCTACAAGATAAATGAGCAACACACAGATGTAAGAACACCTCTTCCTCACTGTCATCTGCCTACTCAATCCATCCCCCATCCTGTTACCACTGTCTACCCTGCATTCCCTGAGGTTCGTGGGGGTTCTTTCTTTCCATTTCATATCTTTAGATAATCCATCTTTTCTGCTAATACAAAACTGCAAGGCTATAAAGGCTCTTGATCATCCTCCATCAAAAATCTTGTGCGGTCTCTTTTCCTTTTGTATCTCTCCTGTCTACTCAATGCACATGTCTTCATGCTGGTTTAATTGTTTGTATTTTCTCTTGCATGGATTTGGAATTCAGGAACTGAGACCAGGCCTCTGGTGGGGTCTAATTGATCTCCATCAAAGCAGCTGAAAGTTTATATTTCTCATTCTTGATGTCTTCTACAGACTTCATGTTTTATTTCTCTCTTTTTCACACGGCAGAAGCTTCTAGGAAAACTCTGTGAACAAAACAAGGTGATAAGAGAACAGGAAAGACTGGTACAGCAGCTTCGAGCAGAAAAGGTAAAAGACATGAATCACCAAAAAAAAAGGGGGTAGTACTATGGACAAGCTGCTTTCAACCCCTATGAATGAACCTCATTTCTCAGAAATTTTCATAGCATGACCAAAAAGATTTCATCTTCTAGGCACTGGTTACATTTAACAGAAGTATTTCCAGTACCCTGAAGCTAGGAGACTGAAATATTAAAATGTAATTTTGCAAAGTGTTATAAATATTTTAAATGTGCCAAGTCAGGAAGATTTGAGTTGATTACAAAACTGTAAACCAAATAACAATAATAAATAATAAAGTAAACAATAATAAACTAAAATAGCAAATGTTAAAAGACAAATGTTCTTTAAATAAGTAGATATAAACCATGATTTTCATACAGTGCAGGCAATAAAAACCTAAATTGAGCCATCAAATATGAGCACCAGGTGTGATTCCCAGGAAAGTCATTCTATAATAAGGAGCCCATAACTGAGTTGCTCTATCCCATCTCTCAAAGCTACTTGCCTGGCTCTCATTTTGGCAGGGATACCTGAAAGAGAGACTCTTAAAGTAACCAGAATGCTTATAGTAGTATCTATGGGGAGAGAGGTGTTCCTATAAGTATCTGTCCCCAAGCCATTCAAATCTTTAAAGAGTAGTATCAGCATCAGTAGTTGAAGCACTGATTTCTTATATCTGAATTGAAGAGTCCCAATTAATTTCCTGGCAAGTCAGTGTTGGAATAACCAAAGCTTCAATCTTCAAAGGAGCCATGCAAAACACATTACAATAATTTAATCAGAAGTTTATCAGAGCATGTACAATTGAGCATTGGCTATCTATTTCAAAGGAGAGTGGTTTTATGAGGTGATTAAACTACCACTGAGTTTCAAGAACACTCCAAACTGCTTTCCCAAACTCTCAAAAGGGCTGTAACCTACACTGGAACAAATAATCGCAACCATCCCAAATAATATTTCTGATCTCAATCTGGACTGAGCTTTGTTTCTTGATTGTCATCCAGGCAATTACGCTGTGTTTCAGAACATTTACCATGTCAGCTGTGTTAAATGAAAAATGTCATCTGTGTATTGATAATAGTTCAGCTAATATCACAAATAATTTTCCACAGCAATTTCATGTAAATGCAAAATAGAAATATGAAATAATTGCAATATGACAAAACAGTAACTACTCTCAGCACTACCTTCTGGAATAGGCTGAACCAGTCTTAGTCAGATAGCTTATTTTGATTGATGCTAAAAACTGTGAAGTCCAAGGAAAGCAACAGGATTGGTGTTCCCTCTGTTTTTTCTCCGCAGAGGTCACTCCCAAAGTGACCAAGGCAGTCTTTGTCCCAAAGCCCAGGTGAATGTAGAACATCAACTTTATGCCTCGATTTTTTGTTAAGCAGTGATTCAAACACTTTCCTCTAGAAATGGAACTGTCTGGCACACTTCTGAGTTAAGTTTCTTTAACAAGGGCTGATTATCACCTCTTTCAAAGGGATCTGTTAAAATACATCCACGTTCTTTGGGCACAACTGCTTAGATTTGTTACAACTGAATGAGACAATACTCTGGACATCTCAATTAATATAACTGTTCTAACCATGGAATCCAAGCCATACTATAAATGAGCAATTTCAATTTACAAATTTTTCACAGCAAATTCTTTTAGGATGGGTGTTTATAATAAAATACCCAGATGTACAAATGAATGAGCATCTTGCTGCTCCCACTATATCAGAGCAGGACACCATACAACATGGATTACTATAGGTAGACTGAGGTAACTGCCTCAGTTGACAGATGCTGAAAAATATCAGAACTATTTTTCTATATTACCTTATTTCTGCCCCTCAGTTAATCTGCTGCCTCACTGCCAGGGTTGAAGCAAGCTTCAGTTATCAGATCATGTGACTTTGGGACATGGAATTGGGAGAAGGTTTGGGATTACATTGACTTGGCCCTAATATAAATTTTATTGCAGAAATACTTATTGTAGACCCCTAAATTCCCAGGGCTTTATAAACTACTGTATTCTCCTTAAGAGCAAGATGTACAGGCATGTTTCTGTTTGTAAATGCTTAAAAAAGTCCTTATCTCATCCAAGAAATTTATATAGTTCAACTCTATTTTTCTCATAAATTTACTAGCTTTCCACCCTGGAGCATGAGAAAAGTTTAATTAAATTTAATGATTTTCAAAAGAATAGAAATAGGAATAAATCCAATTTTCAATGTCATTGTAACTTTGAACAGTCACTAAACATGTGTAAGTTGCTGACTACCTGTACTCTAATCCAGAAAGAGCCTTTTAGCTAGAAAACACAACCAATTTCAAGTCTTGAATTTACTTCTGAATCACCTGCCTTTATTAACAAGCATGTACTTCCTTGTGCTCATTTCATCACTAGGAGAGTCTGGAGAGTGCACTGATGGGGACACACCAGGAATTAGAAATGTTTGGGAGTCAGCCAGCCTACCCTGAAAAGCTTCTGCACAAGAAGGAATCTCTTCAGAATCAGTTGATCAATATCCGAGTGGAACTGTCCCAAGCCAGCACGGTAATCTAACAAGTCTTCTGCATTGAAAGCATTCCATTTTCTATAGTCACAAAGAGATCCCAAACACCTAGAAACCTTCAGGGACTTAGCCAGTTGTGGGTTTCAAAACTTTTTACTGCCAGTTCTGTGGGTGTGGCTTGGTGGGCATGGCATGGCATGGCTTGGTGGGCATGGCAGGAGAAGGATACTGTAAAATCTCCATTCCCTCCCCACTCCAGGGGAAGGTTACTGTAAAGTGTTTTAATTTTTAAATGTTTTTATAATGTTTTTTTTTAAATGCATTATAAGTCTCCTGAGTCTCCAGAGAAAGGCGGCATATAAATTGAATGAATGAATGAATGAATGAATGAATGAATGAATGAATAAATAAATAAATAAATAAATAAATAAATAAATAAATAAATAAATAAATAAATAAAATCTCCATTCCCTCCCCACTCCAGGTGAAGGTTACTGCAAAATCCCCATTTCCTCCCAATCAGCTGGGACTTGGGAGGCAGAGAATAGATGGGAGCAGGGCCACTCAGAGGTGGTATTTACCGGTTCTCCGAACTACTCAAAATTTCTACTGCCCTTCTCCAGAACTGGTCAGAACCTGCTGAAACCCACATCTGGACTTAGCACTATCTAAGGCAGTGTTTCCCAGTGTTAAAATGGATGGACTTCAACTTCCGGAATTCCCCACATGTTAAAATGCCAAGGTTGAGAAACACTGATCTAAGGGAAAGGGTTATGTGTCTGTTAATCATTAGCTTTGATTTATCCCATCATTCAATATCATTCACAGCTATACCAATAGAAGCATACAGATAGAATTGTTGAGCCTCTGGTCATCTCTAGCCGGCATGGAGATTAGTAGAAGCTTTGGCCTTCTCAGTTTTGCAGCCTTCACTGCTTCTCCAGCAGCATTAGCTGTTGTGAAAACCAGGTGCTTCCAGCTGAGCTTGAATGGGGAGTCTGTTCTTCTTGTTTTGACAATGCTGGTGCTACCAGGAAATGCTAGAATTGAAAAGAATAATGTTTTGATAGTTTAGCATTGTGCAATACATCTCTACAGTCTTTTATTCTTTTACTGCCTTTTCATTTCATATAAAAAGGGGGGAGGGAGGGAAGAAATGAAGACATAAAGCCCAACACAAGGGTAAGTTGCAAAATCACATTGGAGAGGGGGATCAAAACATCCAAAGTGTATGCCATCAATTTGGTCTCCCCAAAACTACATTCAGGGTTTCCTGAATAAAAACTGATCTCTGTTTTCAAGAATACAAACAACGACAACAACAACAACTAAAGAAACATGCAAGATACTAGCCTTGCTTCCCTACCCCTGAAGTCTTGTAAAGAGTCTTTAAAAATCAAGTGTTTTTAGGAATGGAAATCTTTGTCTCTTCTGTGAAGTTATGAAGGCTGTGATCCAAACAGATGGTTGAACAGTTAGTGTTCATATGCCAATTAGTTTTTCTGCACTACAGGGATCTAGACAGGCATTTGTATCTTGACGACACTGTTTGCAAATCCCCACAGGCACTGGCCAACAGCACTATGGAATATGAGAATCTGGAAGCTGAGGTGTCAGCCTTGCATGATGATTTATGGGAACAGCTGAACTTGGATATCCAGGTGAGAGAATGAACTCTCTGCATCAGATGGATTGAAGGCAAATGATCAGCATGTTGAGAATATGTTGGAAATGAGTGCAAATTTTAGCCAAATTTAGGGAAATTATTCACCCAATTTCTCAGTCTACTAGGTTAGGGAAATTTTCAGAAGGTTAACTGTGCCCAGCAAAAGTTATAATATAAGATACTTGGAGAGCCCAAGTTGAGAGAAAGTGTAAGTGGCTTAGAATTAGTACTTATTGAGTGGCTTAGAATTAGTACTTATTGAGACACAAACTTCTGTTTGTAGAAATATTGTGTCATATATGCCAGATAGATGTTTAATCCAAGCTTGCTTTGCTGATATTTAGCGTCCTATAGCCCCATTGGAGGACAGGAGCTGTTCTGCCCCCTGGTGGAAACAATTGCTTGCAGCAATAGAAAGTGCAGGCAACATTTTTAGTTCTAATTGGATGGATGATCTGCTTATCCCATCTCGGTGTTTAAATTATAACAAATTAATGCTTGTTTATATTTGTCTGCATATTTCCAACGTAATTTCACTCACCTTGATATGCAGTTGTGTCTCCATGACTGAATTGAACTACAATAACAAAATATGTATCACTGGTAGCTAGATGGGAAGGATCTAGTAAAGGATATTTCCCAAGTGATCTCTCAGCTGAGTGACCAGAGTAGCTCTTTCCTGCAGATATTAAAATTGAATTATGACACATTGCCTAACTATATTTACTCATTACAATTTAAATATTCTGCATTTGAAATGAGTCTCACAAATCAAAGGAAATGTTTGAATATTTTTGCAATGTTGCATGCTGGATTTTGCATGGTTGTGATTATTACTTTAATTGGGGAAACGGGGGCATAAATAGTCATATAGCAGGAGAAGTGATACCGGTAGGTGAAGGAGAAAATGTAATAAAAAAAAAAAAGAGTTGTGACAAGAAATGAGGAGCAAAGGCTCCTGTTATCTCTTCACAACATAGATATGGTTTTTAAATATAGATATCAATTAAGAGCATCCCTGCCGAAGGTCAAAATCTGTAAGAAGGTGTCTATAGTGCCATAATCAAAGTTCAGTCCATTTTAATTCAACAGGAGTAGGCCTTCTATTGCAAGATTGCACTTGGCATTTTGCAAATTTGCACATATATCCCTATAGACACCCTTAATGCCAATACCATATTTACTATACCATCTTATAGTAATATAACTATATTATTATAGTAATTTAAGAGCCATGGTGGCACAGTGGTTAGAATGCAGTACTGCAAGCTAACTCACTGCTCACTTCAGGACTTTGATTCTGAGTGGCTCAAGGTTGTTTCAGCCTTCCGTCCTTCCGAGGTCAGTAAAATGAGGACTCAGATTGTTGGGGGCAATATACTGACTCTGTAAACTGCTTAGAGAGGGCTGTAAAGCACTGTGAAGCAGTATATAAGTCTAAGTGCTATTGCTAAGTGCTACTAATGAAGAAAATTAACATATTCCACCCTGGAGATGCATTTAATACCAGCAACTACTTCTGCTTTACTGTGGTATGGCCTATGTAACAACATCTTGGTAGAGTTGAGGTGACTCTTTCCTTGTTAGAATGTAGAATGGGACTTAGAATATTAATTTTTATCCAAGCATTTTTTTTTTTTGCTTTTCTAAGTTTTTTAAATTTAGCTAAGAGTTGGTTTTGTTTTTATTATAAATAAATATTTGTAAATTGCCTAATGGGTATGGATTTTTTTTTAAATGAATACATTTACATATCTTGCTCATAGCACATTTTAGCCATATATGTTATTGCAGAGTCACAAGGGTAACATAATTCATACACTAACCATATTTATGGGACAATGTGATATAAAAGCAATTGAATAGTTTTCAGAAACCAAGCTTATTTCTTAAGTTCTATACACTGATGTAGGGATATCAGCTGTTTCTTTTCTCCATCCCAGTGAGTCTGGTCACAACATCAATTGAAGAACTGTAATAAGATATCAGGCAATGAATCAAAATTATACAGACCCACACTGCCAGAATTGTAATTGTTTTAAAGACTGTAGCCACAATTGTAAAAACCAGAATGCAGAGTATTTTCTGCATTATATTTATTGTACTCCACACATTCGTGCCAATAGGAAGCTACCTCTTGAAGCATTCTCCAATTTAGAGATAACATTTATCTACAATCTGGAGGCTTGATAAAATCATGTTCACACACCCACAGTTTTCTGCATGAACAATCTCATGTGAGACACTATACCTTTCTTTACTTGGGGATTACATAGCCTGTTTAGAAACTGTTCTAGAGGCTGAATTGCCAAGAGCTGATGAAGCCAAGTGTCCTCAGGAGAAGATGAGCTTAGTCTATAAAAAAGATTGCAAAGAGATTGAGCAAGGATGAGCAACTGAAACAATTTAAATAATTACTTTTATTTATTTTTAATTAATTCAGCAGAGAGATATCACCACGTTAATTGTGGAAAAGTATTTTTGTGGTAACATTTGTAACATAATTGTTTCATCTTTTTATAAAGGAAGAAAACAACTTTTCCTCAGCCCTCTTTGCTGCTCTGTACTCTTTTCTCTCACTGCAGGTCTATTCCGCAGTCTCTCATCCATTCTTCTCAACACATAGCTTTCCTTCCTTTGATTTCCATTTTTTTCCCTTTCCATTCTTCTCTTCCCTTTGCAATCATTCCTCTACATTCTTTTACGAAGACTCATCTACAGAATGCATGAATATAACAAATTCCCAGTATATTTTATTAAAATGCATCTTTGAAGGGGAATTTTTTTTTGTAGAAAAGTTGAACGAAGAGATTGCTTACTCCTTTGTTGCCTAGTCTTTCTCTGCTGAATTTCCCTTTCCTACAAGATACTTTTTCCTGTTGCAGAATTCTAATAGAAGATGCAAATAAGCCTAGGAGAAAAAGACTTCTCAAAGACATGTGGACTTCAATTCCCAGAAATCCCCAGTGATTTGGATGCCACTGAGTTCTGAAATCTGTAAAAAAGAGAAACATAACCAAGAGCAGATACTTTTGATGATGCATTTGCAATTCAACCATAGGGTCAAACATCTCTATTCCAGGTCCTCATTTTACCAACCTCAGAAGGATGGAAGGCTGAGTCAACTTTGAGCCGGTCAGAATCAAACACCTGGCAAAATTAGCCTGCGATAATGCATTCTAACCACTGCGCCACCATGGCGCCTATGACTCTCCTTTTATAATATATTGTTTTTTATTGGGTGTGATCCAAAAATTTTCAGTTTAAGAGTTTTGTTCAAGTTTGAAAGGATCCTTCCAATTGTATTGTAGCATTCCAACTATTCTGAATCTGCTTTGAACTTGAAGCAGCTCTTTTGAGTTTAAAACAAGTCTGAGCTTGAAATCAGGCTGATTGGAGCCAAGGACATATCCAGAGTGATCAGAATAACATCAGAATATTTCCAATAATGTCAGGATAGCTATTTCAAATTCAAAACAGATCACACTATTTTGAATTTGAAACATTTTGTTACCATCATTTTCTTCATACTTGGATGAAGTATGCCTTCATCCAACAATGCTCTTGAAGTGATGTCCCGGTGCCCAGAGGCTGTACAGATCTGGATGGGGAGGAATAGGCTCAGGCTCAACCCATCCAAGACCGAGTGGCTGTGATTTCCGACGTCCCGATATAGTCAGTTGGTGCCATCACTGACTATTGGAGCCGAATCATTGGCCCCCACAGAGAGGGTGCGCAACTTGGGTGTCCTCCTGGATTCACGGCTGTCTTTAGAAGAGCACTTGACAGCCGTGACCAGGAGGATTTTTCATCAGGTCCGCCTGATTCGCCAGTTGCATCCCTTTCTGGATCGGGACTCCTTACGCACGGTCACTCATGCCCTCATCACCTCCCACCTGGACTATTGTAACACTCTCTACATGGGGCTCCCCTTGAGGAGCACCCGGAGGCTCCAGCTGGTGCAGAGTGTGGCCGCGCGGGTGGTAATGGGAGTGACATGGCGCTCCCATGTAACACCCCTCCTGCGCGAGCTGCACTGGCTCCCGGTGGTCTTCCGGGTGCGCTTCAAGGTTTTGGTTACCACCTTTAAAGCGCTCCATGGCTCAGGACCTGGGTACTTGCAGGACCGCCTACTATCACCAATAGCCTCCCACCGGCCAGTACGCTCTCATAGAGAGGGGCTCCTCTGGGTGCCGTCGGCCAAACAATGTCGACTGGCGACCCCCAGGGGGAGAGCCTTCTCTGTGGGGGCACCTACTATCTGGAACGAGCTCCCCCCAGAGATACGGAGGATCCCGGATCTGCGCACCTTCCGCCGTGCTCTAAAGACCTTTTTATTTCACCAGGTGGGCCTGGCCTAACTTTCTCCCTCTTTTTAAACAATTTTAATATTTTTAATATTTTTAATCCTCAAAGTTTAAATTTGTTTTAAATTGATTGGGGTTTTAATCTGTCTGGGCCAAACTATTTAATTCGATTTTATTTCTGCTTTTTAAATTTTGTATGTATGTATTTTATTGTTGGCTGTTCACCGCCCTGAGTCCTTCAGGAGTAGGGCGGTATACAAATCAAATAAAAGTAAAAAAGTAAAGTAAAGTTGCTTATTCTTAAATAAATGTGTTCAATATCAAAACAGCTGAATCAAAATGTTTGTATTCTATTATCATGATGAGGCAGTACTTTAAATAGTTTTTAAAGGAAATATTTTACACATGCGCTATTTTTCTTCCCTTAATCATATTTCTGGGGTTTTTTGTTTGTTTGTTTGTTTGTTATTTTAATTTATCTACTTTCTATTATAGTAGTTGATAGCCTGATAACAGAGAAAAGAAAAGAAATATGCATACTACAACTAATATTAGACAACATGCTTGCCTAAAATTACCCTTCCCCTTGCTCACAATTAAGTATAGAAAATTAATTACTAACATTAGTACTTAGTTTAATTAAATGTGGATTTGTTTCTCTACCTTGGTTTTTCAGAATGAAATGCTCAACAGGCAAATCCAGAAAGAGATCTGGCGGATCCAGGATGTGATGGAGGGACTCAAAAAGAACAATCCCTCTCGGGGCACAGATACCGCAAAACACCGAGGTAAGGGCCACTTCTTCTATTCAGAGAGATCTTGATTTTTACTTCTTAATGAGCTGTGGTGTTGTAGTGGTTAGAATGCAGTATTGCAGGCTAACTCACTGTTCTCTGCCAGCAGTTCGATTCTGAGCAGCTCAAGGTTGACTCAGCCTTCCATCCTTCCTCATCAGTAAAATGAGGACCCAGATTGTTGGAGGCAATATACTGACTTTCTAAACTGCCTGGAGACTGCTGTAAAGCACTATGAAGTGGTATATAAGTTTAAGTGCTATTGCTAATAGCACTTTGCTGATACAATGTCCAATTAATATCTGAATGTTAAATATCTCTCTGTTAATTATCTGCCATTGCAGCGAACATGCATTTTCTGCTACCTGAAATGCTCACTGGAATCTATTGGCTGCTGTTCCGATCAGTGTAGAATTACCATTTGTTGCACTTTCCTGCTGTATCCTGGGACCATTGCTAAAAATGTCATAAAATTAGGAGGGTCATGTGGTGACCTACTTAATATCCAGAATGACTCACAATCATAATTTTGACAAAATAACTGAGTTGGAAGGGACCTAGTCCAACCCCCTGCTCAAGTAGGAGACCCTATACTATTCTGAACTTCTTAAAAACCTCCAGTGTTGGAGCACATAACTTCTGGAGGCAACCTGTTCCACTGATTAATTGTTCTGTCCGGAAATTCCTTCTTTGAGCTCAATTTCTGAATTTAAGTCAAGGACTACTTTATTTCATTTCAACAAGCATTCTTCAATCTTTAATATTGAAATATTTTGGACTCCAATATTCAATTTCTATAATGCTCAGTCAGAACAGTCTATGGCTCATTTTAAAAATATAATAAAAAGTTCAGTTCTGTAAAGTGAAAGTTGCATGCATCCTATTTGCTAGACAGCTTCTTGTGTTGGCAGTAATATAACTCTTCTTGATGATATTGTTTTAATCCCTTTATTTTTCTTGTGCCATTTCTGTTTAACTGGCTCACTTAAAACCACTTATCCTTCATAAATTGGCCTATAATTTTAAACCAGTGGTTGCATGCAGCACTATCATCTCATCTTATGGCAATAAATTCCATCAGTTAAAACTGTGTCAAGGGAAAGAATTATTTTTTTGTTGTCAGTCTGACTGCATTTCAAATGGCATTTGAAACATATTTCTCTCTATTCATATTTCCATGCATCATTGTGTAAACTTTGTTCTCCACTACTTCAAGCTGCCTCTTTAAAAATTTTAAAGAAATTTTTAAGAAGTTCTGGATGCATTAGTTGAACTTTAAAGAGAAGGTTTCTAATCCATTTGAATAACCCTTTCTGTACTTTTTCAAATGTGCCCTATCTACTTAAAATGAAGTCAGCATGCAAAGCATTTTAGATTGAGTTTTATATGCCCTTCTGCTTTATGATCAAGTTTTAGATCTCTCTTCCCCATCCCCGCCCCTGTGACTTCCATCTCCCAAAATTAATGACAGTCTACTAAATGATGATGCTGATATAATTATTCCAAACTTGAGTATCTGCTTTTACCTTAATGCTCAGCATGAAATGTTTTTTTTCAGCTGTAGCTGAAAAGTTCAGCCCTGATGCTGCTTAAGTACAGGGCAGCAGTTCCCTATCTGTGTTACTCTGGAGTGGAGAAGCATAGAGGTCTCATATACAAATAAATTAAGTAGTTAACCAATAAATGTGGCCTTTTCTTTAATCAACCAAAGGTACCAATAACAACTAAAATAACTACAGTGGTGATACCAGGATTAAACTAATGAATACAAGTTAAGGGTTCTACAGCCCAAGAATCTATGTATTCAAAGCTACGTATGCCTTCAAAAATCCTGTTCTAGCTTTCTTTATCTCTAGAGCTAGGGAGACGTAGCAAAAAAGATATTACGTATGGGAGGGAAGTGCCTCAAAGGTGCAAGTAGAGGTACTGGAGCTGGGCAACTATCTAGAGATGGTATTCAGCACGTTCTGACCAGTTCTACAGAACCAGTAGCAGAAATTTTGAGTAGTTCGGAGAACTGGTAAATACCTCTGGCTGGCCCCACCCCCAGGGGTGGATTCTACTTACCTTTACTACCAGTTCGCAAAAGGATCGTGGTTCTTGTGAACCGGTCCGAAGCGGGGGCAACCCACCACTGCCCATCTGTTCTCTGCCTCCCGAGTCCCAGCTGATCGGGAGGAAATGGGGATTTTGCACTAACCTTCCCCTGGAGTGGGATGGGAATGGAGATTTTACAGTATCCTTCCACTGCCACACCCACTAAGCCACACCCACAGAACCGATAGTAAAATTTTTTGAATCCCACCACTGGAACTATCCATTCTGCCCACAACCCTCTCTATATTAAAGTTAAAGTAATTTCTTCTTATCCATGAGCCTGAAATCAGCGTAGAGTTTACTACCCCCAGAGACTTCAGGGTCTCTGTTCTGACTTGTAGAAAGAGGATAGTGTTTTTTTTTTTACTTATGACTAAATTTTAGGGCCTAAACTTCTGTGAAAGTTAGGCTTTTCACTTGGCATTTTGCCACATGTAAGGTCAGTTACCCAGGTGGTAAGAGGCAGTAGGTGAAGGGATCTTGAATAGCTGAGAGGTTGGAAGTTGTGTGACTTTTTTTTTTCTCTCTGCTGCTGCTGCTGCTTTGTGGTACAATCCATTATTACTGTCAGACTGTCCTTGAACACCAAGATTAACACTTGTCCATTAAAAATCCCATCTGTGTCCAAAAGCAGTACAAACATTGGCTGATAGGCTTCTAGGGGGATTGTATGAGCAGTTCTTTCTCTGCCACTCCACCCTATCTGTCAGTTGTTCAAGCTGATTTTGAATTAGGATTTACTACTCTTCCAGTAGAGTGCTAAACCCAGGGGGGAATTGTTCCATGAAGTAGCCATCTGACTCTACAGCCCCCGTCATCCATCCACGTCAGCTGTTATTCAGGCTGATTTATTGGCTGAGAGATCTGGCATGTACAGAGGAAGAGCTTTGTTTGAAATAATTGTAAGAACTGGACTCTCTCATTGCTCAAGCAGAATGGCCCCAGAGGATAATGTCCAAGACCAGAATAGAGAGATATAGCTGTACCAATCTAAGGTGGTCAGTATGTGCCAGCCTGATCCTGCCACCATCGCTTATGCCATACTGATGGAATCATTGATAACACAACAGAATAACAGAGTTGTAAGGCACTTTGGAGGTCTTCTAGTCATATGGATTGGTGAAGTGCCTCAGATTGTGTCTTTGGTAAAAACCACTGCTGTTTGTTGACTGCCTAATAGGGAAAACTATCTTTAACACTGAAACATCCCATCAGGAGGGCTTAAAACCTTTTGGAATATGTGTCAAGGTTGAAATGAAGACAATGTAAGGGGTCAACAAAAGAAAACAGTGGTTACTAGGGCATACAGTATTTTAACCAGGTTTAGGAACTTTAAACCAGTGTTTCCCAATCTCAGCTGTTTTAAGATGTGTAGATGTCAACTCTCAAAACTCCCCAGTCAGAATTCTGGGAGTTGACGTTCACACATCTTAAAGTAGTTGGGCTTAAGAAACACTGTTTTACGTAGTAAGAATATTACACAGTAGAAAGTAATATTATATGCTTTCCTTATTTCCTATGTGTATAGTATATTGAGCCTCATCGCTTTTTTAAAAAGTCCTCTTTTTCCTTTTAATAGAAAATATTCCACTCCATTCACTCCAGTTATCTCCAACTCATCATCATATGTCCCTTTCCTGTAGTTCATTATTGCTTTTCTATCTGTTCCCCTTTCTTGCAGTGGCCCTTGGCCCATCAGGAACTTACAGCTCCAACAGTCCAGCCAGTCCTCTGAGCTCAGCTAGCCTCACAAGCCCCCTGAGCCCTTTCTCTCTTGTGTCTGGATCCCAGAGTTCCCCTACCAAGCAAGGCAGCAATGAGGTGAGCAAATCTCTCATCAATGAGAATGGCTAAAGGTGCTGGAAAATAGACGCAGCCAGAAGATGGCGCCTGATGTTTTTGTTTTAAAGGTTATTATTCCACCAGTAGGTGGAGATCGAAACCTTCTTCTGACATGAAAAGGTTGGACTAATTCCTCCAATGACCACAATTTAAATCTTAAGCATTACATTATTGGCTTACAACTCTTGAATGATTTCAGAGAACCAGGTAGTTAAAAGTTGGGAAATTGGTCCCAAATCCTTGAAAATCTGTACAGTTTGTTAATCTAAAGAACAAATTCCTGGTAGCTGGCAGTCGGTGTACCAGTTTACCGATAAAAACTCTGTATGTATTTGAGTTTATTTTTTATTTATTCATTTGCTTTAAATTTGGTTTTTAACGTTTTCTAGCACCTGAAAGTAAGTAGGCTAGAGGTTGATCATTATAGAAAATAGTCTCTTTCTTTGTTCTATTCAATTGTACTTTTATAAGAAGAAGCCTTTTATCAATTAAAATAATGAGCAGATGTTTTCCTATAAGGCAAGTCTCCCCATCTCTTATTTTTTTATGCTTTTGCAGTTGGCAAAAAACTAATGATGCATCTGAGTTACACCTGACATTAAAAAATTGGTCCTTCTGAATTACACCTCTGTTCAGAGCACAGTCTACGGATTCATCCTTACACCTGCTGAATGAAGCACCTTGGTGCTTTCCCAACAATTTTTGAGGGCCATGTCTTCATGACCTTGCCTTTATCTCACCATCAGTCTGCTCCGAAGCAGTCTTGAGCTATCTTTAACTGTTCCAATTTGGAAGTAATGTTTTCTTTTCTTTTTTCCCCCCTGAAAATCTTAAATACCTTAAAGACAAGCTATGATACAATCAGGGACAGCCGTCTTTGCAGCTCCACTTGGCTGGGTGAATCTGCTGTGGAAAAATCCCTTACCTCTCCAATTGTGGCCATGGCACCTCTTGACCCATTTTGTCTTTGTCTATGACAGGACCAAGCTTTGGCTGGATTTTTTTTTTTTCATTACAAAATGTAAACTATTTGATGTGTATGTGTTTGTGTGCTGGGAAAATAATAAATTAGAATAAAAAAGACTGTGCGAGATACACAAATGCACATATATGGGCATACCAGTGGTGGGTTGCTACCGGTTCTCCCCAGTTCGGGAGAGCCGGTAGTGGAAATCTTGATAGGAGAGTGAACCGGTTCACTCTGAATGTCAGTTGGGCCCTCCCCCCGCGCTCGCGCTATACCTACCTTTATTTCTTTTGTTTTTAGCTCAGCTGTAAGGTGCGGCAGAGTGGATTGCCATGCCTCAGCTGTTTTTTTACTCAATGCACTTGAGCGAAGCGCAAGATCGGCACGCGTGTGAGCGAAGTGAGCAAGCGTGCGGCGATTGCGTGCAAAGTGCGTGCGTGCGCAGTTTTACCGGTGGTAAAACTGGTTAAAACCCACCACTGGGGCATACACTCTGGGAAAAAATATTGGAAGAGAGAAGAGACTCTTTCTTGGGCCAAACATAATTCAGGAGTGTTATTGACTTCAGAAGAGGGAAAGCAAAGAAAGACTCGGCGCCATAAATAGAACTGAGAACTGTTTGGGCTGCCTCTGATTTGTATTTTAAATGAGCTATTCTGAACATTCAGGCAGACTTTTGTGGAGGTGTGTTATTTGACATAGATATATCCATCTTCTATTTCTTTGACAGGATTGTCAGTCTCTCAGGAGAATGACAGTCCTATGGAACAAGTTCATAGAAGGTGTCATTTAGAGGTTGTTTGGGAAGCCGATAATCCTACCAGAAGAAGCACCCAATAAATGCTAAGAATTCAAGCCAAATAAGTGGTGCAAATTCTATTATTCTGCTTTAGAAAAGCCACCTAAATATCTTGGCAATAAGTATTTCGGTACTCTAAAAGCCTGGAATGGCTTAGTTGAAATTAGTAGTATAGTAGAGTCTGATACTAATTTTGTACCATCTTAGACAGTAACGAGTTCATGCTTGCCCATCATAAATAAAAACTGAAGTCATTGGATTCAGCCAAAAGATGAGGAGAATCAGATAGCTTACTTCTTCATCAATAAAAAATTATGCAGAAATTGATAGACAAATGTGTTCAAGCTTTAAAATGTGTGGGTTTCAACTCCCAGAATTCCCCTGGTAGCATGCTGACTGGGGGAATTCTAGGAGTTGACGCCCACACATCTTAAAGCTGCTGAGGTCAATTAACACTGTGATAGACCATGTCTTTTCCTTTGTATTAGACTGATAGATACAGCAGAACAAGCCAAAAGATTTTAGTTAAATGTCTAGATTCAGTGGAAGCATCTCGTTGAGCTACTTATCAAAATCAAAATTCCTGTCCTGAAACAGTCATCATCCCTAGTTCCACTCATGTGCTATCCCTATATTTGTGTGGAGCATCACTTTTTATGTTGCCAAAACCTATTGACCTCAATGTTTATGAATCAACAAGAGGTCTTTTAAGTCTACATCAGCCATGTCTTCAGATTCTGTTTTGCATTGTCTGGTGAAGCAGCAGATTGTGCTGACATTATAAAATATTTGTATTTTGAAGAATGTGTCTCAAAAGGGATGCATATTTTGAAATGGCAGATATTTTTTGAAGCAAATGAAAATCAAGTCATCATATTATGTACATTATTTATCAAGTGACGCCTGGCTAACAGTATTCTTTGGATTGGTACTGGGTTGGTCACCAAGGAAAAAGGCTGTTCATTTTGACTCCTGAGTTTTTGATGCTCAGATGCAGGTGCCTATCCTGGTTTAACATCTGTCCTTATATGTATCTGTGTCTCACTAATTCTCTTTTCCTTCACATTCTCACAGTTTCTTTGCTCTTACTCCTAATGCTTCTTGATTTCCTCTTCACTCCAGGAGCCTGGTCCACCTCGACCTCCCCTCCCCAAATCATATGTGCCCTTGGAATCTCCTCCGACTATCCCTCCACTTCCTTCTGAAAGCCGTCTCTGGCAATATCCTAACTCCCCTTCCTGGCAGGAAAGCAGCGAGGCGAAGAGGGGACAGGTATCTGAGATCTAGAGGCATAGTCTATCCTTTGCTACTTTCACCAGGCAGTAGGGCCAGAGAGAGGGCGGGCGAGGGAACCCTATGTCTAACAGTAATATTTCTGGCTCATGACATCTGTTGTGTCTTTAAACTTATAATGGATAAAGGTAGTTCCACTTGAAATACTTTTTTCTACAGGTAGATTAAGTCCAGGTATGAAAATTATTGAGCAAATAGTTGGCCTTTTTGAGAATGCAAACCATTGTTTGATTATGTAATCATGGATGAAGATAGGTAGGGTTTCAAAACAGACATATAAGCTAGAAACACAACATGGGGAGGAGGGAGAAATTAAATCATGTTACCAGAGAATTTGCTGTATTGGGACACCTCCATCCCATATCTGCAGCAGAGAAAAGAGGTTGCATGTTTTTGAAAAAAAATTCAAAGATCTGGAAAACTTACGTAAACAGAAGCAGCAAGCACTATGAAAGCAGTTTGGTCTAGTGGTTAAGGTCCTGCCTAGCCATGAAAGTCAGCTGGGTGATCTTGGGCTAGTCACTCTCTTTCAGACCAGCTCACCTCACAGGGTTATTGTGGTGGAAAAAAATAGGAAGAAAGTGTGTGTGATATGTCTGCCACCTTATTTCTAAAAATAATAAAGACAGGCGATGATAGATAGATAGATGGATGGATGGATGGATGGATGGATGGATGGATGGATGGATGGACAATCTACCTCCATCCCACCAACATCACACAAAAATCTAAGTTGTTGCAGCAAAAATAGGCTGAGGCATTATTATAAGAAGTTTAAATCCTTTGTTACCTCAATTAAGCCCCTGTAAAAGTCATAGAAATGGTATTGAAATGAAGCAGAAGAAAATGGACTTCTCTAAGTATCCAAGACAGTGAATCTTTTCTGCAAAGTATTCCTCTTCTCCAAGTAGTTGCTATTTTTGTTTTCTAATTAAGGGCAATATAATTTCTTCAACTATCCTGTTCTGGTGTGGTTTCTACTTTCCATGTATAGAAGTAGGGAACAAGTGGCAGTTTATCTCATGAGCTTTATTCTCCAATGTATGTTGAGCTGGACATTTCTAATTCCTAGGGGAACCTAATAGGAGTAGAAATCCTTGCCTTTCCTGGATATTTTACCTTCACTTAAACAAAATGCATGCTAATGAAGTAAGCATTTGCCCCATCTTTTCTTCAGCTGACTAGTTTTTGATTGTTTGAATTGTTTTGGAACGGAGAAGAAAAAAACCTAGACAGATGCTTCTGATTCTTCTTTCAATATGTTCATTCTTGTTAATATTTTATTCTTGTTGCCTATTTTTCTTCTTCTCTGTTTTAACTCTATGTTAACCATCTATAATCAGAACTATGAGTTGGGTGGCCATACAAATTCCTTAAACAAAAACAAACAAACCTTCAGGGCAGTAGCAGATGTCTGTAGGCAGTTTTCTTCAGCAAGACCAGACACTTTTCAAAGGAAATATATTTTCCCGACAGTCAAAGTCCAGCTTTGAGCAGAGCAAGAAGGACCATCACCGGGCATCAGCCTCACATTCAACAGTGGAGGCTGGTCTCTTGCAGTCAAGGCAGGACCAAGATGCTGATAAGCAGGTGGCACTCAACAAAGGTACCGATAAACTGCATGTATTAAGAGAATCCATTTGTTTGCTGATTTCATCTTCTTTGCCTGCTCCAAAAGTCTTGGGATAATGGGAACTGTAGTCTGGTGTTTAAAAGAGTATAGATTGGGGATAACTGGTGTAAAGTTTGTAACTCTAAATTCAGGAAAGATAGGGTTTAAAAGCTATAATATATAGGAATACGTTACAATAAGTAAAGCCATTTATCTCGGAATTCCTTTGTTCAGAGCAATGTAATTTGTCAGTATACAAAGCAAGTATACAACATCACATACAGACAGAGATCACACACATGCCAACACTAGCATGCTGTATGAGCCTAGTCATTCTTAAACCATGATTTGTATCTTAGCTATCAATCCATCCATTTTGGCTTATTAAGCAATCAATGCTGAAACAAATCCAGATTGCAACAGGCGAACCCATCCATAGACTTTCACAATGGGGAAAAAACTCCTGCTCAGGGGTTATTGTCTTAACAAGCTTGTAGGCCTGCCCAGTGAGTTTGGTCTCATTCAGTAAGGCTCTTCTGAAATGATTTTATCAAGAAAGTAGTTCTTGTTCCTTTCTTATCCAAAATAACTATTTGGATTACCTATCCTAAGTAAGTACCCGTCACAAGGATGGGTGGGTGGGTGGGTGGGTGGATGGATGGACAGATAGATGAATGGATGGACTGATGGATCCTTCCATCCATCTACCCACTCACCCATCCATCCACCTATCCATCCATCCATCTCTATCATCTGTCCCATTTATTTGGTGCTGGGCACCCACCTAAAAAAAATAATGGAGCAGAAATTATAATAACATTCAATGTAATATTCCAGAGTCCAAATAAATCTTCCTATTTTACAATAGATAATGAGCAAACGATAACAGGCAAACCAACCAACAGAGCTTTGCTAACACAAGTGTTAGGGTAGAATGAAGCTGGAGCCTAGGCAAGACGTGTGTGTGTGTGGGAGAATGCTTCCCAAGAGCATCCTAAGATTTTATTCTAATTGTTGGGGTTATCTGTTTTTACTGTTTTGTGAGCCAGCCATAGTTGTGCTTACAATATGAGTGGGTATAAAAGTCATTTAAAATAAATGCTTTCTATTTATGTATTGCCATTGTCAGAATCTTCTCCCTTCTTGTTAATTCCTTTGGGGTTTTTTTATCTCCTGAATAGTTGGTATTGTTCCTCCAAGAACTAAGTCACCTATGGATGATGAGACCTCACCAACATCAGGTGTGGTGAGGAGGAATGCCAATGGGCGGGATTCTCGGGTAAGGGTGAATTCTGCCATCTTTTCAATATTCTATCCATTCTTAATAATATTAATTACTCTGCAGGAAATAGTGCTGAACAATACAATAATTAAAAGCCAACAATGCAATTATACAACAAATCAGAAAACAATGTAATTGAGTGATCAATGAAAAGAAATATCAAATGAAATTTTAAAATATCAGTCCAATAATTAAACAGCCTTCAAACTAAATGCTATAATCAGATTTTTTTAAAAAACCCTCTTAAATAATGTAGCAGCAAAATTGTACTGAAAATTAAAAAGTCTATTTCCTATGGGAATGAAAAGTTCTTTGCTTGGTATCAAAAGGGGAACAGAATCAGCTTCCAGAATTCTTTAAGGTTAAGAAACCCTGAAAGCTTGAGAAGCAAGCTAGGGAGATCAGCAGAAGTATCAGCATCCTAATTGATGTCAGTGCCCTCATCAATTTCATCGGGACCTTAAAACCTATTTTTTTCAGTTAGCCGGGCTATCCTGATTTTATGGTTGGTTTTTAAAATTTGATATTGATTTAAATTGAAATGTTTTAAATTATGGGCCAAACTTTATTTAATTATTTTAAATCTATTTTAACTTTTGTGTACAAATGTTTTATTTTGGCTGTTCACCGCCCTGAGTCCGAAAGGAGAAGGGCGGTATAGAAATCTGAAAAATAAATAAATAAATAAATAAATTATAGATGATAATGTCTATATGATAAGGCTCAAACTTCTCCACTTTGACAGGGAAAGATTATATTCTTCCTATTTTACTGACAGTTCAGTGAGTTGGGAGGAATGTGATGAGAATGGTTAATCCAGGATTGCCAGAAAGAGTGAGTTAAATGTGTGACTAGTTTCATCCTTAGCCACCAGTCTAAAACAGATTTTCTTAGTGGAACACAATTATATTGAGATCTCAGGAAGGTTTCCTATACCAACAGTTTTACCTGAACACTCTCAGAAGTATTTTTGCCCTGTCTTGCAAGGGTCTTCACCACTAACATTCTCACAATCGTCCTCACAACCTATGAAGCAATTAGCACTCCTTCTAGGTGATCAACAGGAGATGCAAAACCAATCCTCCAGCCAGCACCTGCCCTGTGTTCTTATAAATGTATCACTGCATTTATTTTCATAGAAAATTAATGAGCCCATCTAAAAATCAGGATGAAATGTTATGACACCATAACTTAAACTCAGTGCAGGAAACACCCAGTTTTGAAATGCACAGTGAAAGGGCATCAAGGCATTTCTGGGAGGTGGGAGAACTGAGGACCCCGGGAGGGATGAGGTGGGGGTTCCAGCCAATGAGAAATTGCTATCCTGATAGTGAGATGTTAGCAACAAATCTACTTTGTGGAATTTCCTCCTGGATTGACAAAAATGGGAAACTCAGCATTTGTCTTTTCTTCTAATGTTTGCATTGTAAGTTAAATTAGTACTGTATTTTTCCCCAAAAAACCACAGTTGTCATTAACTCATAAATATTGTATTGTATTATTAGATTTATATCCCATCTTTATTCTGTACATCATATCATATCTTATTATGTCAAAATCATTTGATATAACCATACCATGCAGAAAAAAATTACTATAGTGTTCTAGTTTCAACATTTTGCAAACTTCTTACTGCATTTGCTATCATGCTCAAGCACACTTTGCCAAACTCCTCCTTCCATAAACTGTTGTATTAACAGCTAGTCATCTTTTGATTCAAAAGCTGGGCTGCTATTCTACTGAGTTATTTCCCATCTTCTAACACAAATGTTAACAACATAAAGATGTTGTTATCAGGATATTTTCTGTCCTGAATCTGCCCTCAGAAAAAAAATAAACCAAGATTTTGATAAAACAAAAAGCCTGTGTAACCACCAGGGTCCTGTGTTCTCCCTTAGGACAGGCCAAAGAGTGCTGTGTTTTCCAATGAGATGAAAGCAAAGATGAGTGTTGAGGAACAAATTGATCGCATGAAACGCCATCAAAGCAGTTCTATGAAGGAAAAGAGACGGAGCTTGCAACTTCCAGCCAATCAGCAGCAGACAGATAGCCCTCTCTCAAAAGCACCTGCCTCTTATAAAGTGGTAATTAATTTATTTTATTAGTGAAAACTAATCTTCATCTTATAAACCACTCAGATATACTTCAGTAGTAGTATTTTCTTGAGAAAAAAATGATCAAGCAGTGTTTCATACAGATGTTTTGCAGGTACTGAAGTTAAGAACTGGGCTGAATGATAGACAGTCAAATACACTTAAATTCTGTAACAATTATTAGGAGGCAGTAATTTAGACTTATTACTACAAGTGGAGTTTGCAATGATAAACCTATATAGTAGTTGTGCAGACCAAATCAGAGTTTGAAATCCACATGACTGAAAATCTGCTTCATTCCACCCTTTCCCCATTAAATATTTCTTTGCACAGTAAATTATGCTGTCCTAAAATTTACTTTCTGACATCTGTTGCTCTTTCTGTGAAGACATTTCTTAATTCTCTAGTATAGAAGAATAGTCATGGGAGATTCAGCCAGTGCAGCTCCAAGTTGATCAAGACTACCAAGTGATCTGCCAAGCTAGAAATAATATTGACAATCAATGAAGGCAAATATACATGTTCCAAGATAATGTTGCAGGATCCAATCTGGATTGGTCACTGGGACTAGAGATTTAGTCTTCCGGGCTTTCAGACTCGTGCTGGAGCCCACCCTCAATGAACTTTTGTCTCATATATTCTGGTGAGAGAGAAATTCCCTAAGGAAGGACTCCAACACAAGTCCAAAAGTTCAGAAGACTAAACCTCTGGCTCCAGTGATCAACCCAGATTGGATCCTGCAATATTGACAATATCTTAAGTGGTCTATTTTGCTCTAGGTTCGCAGGCATCGCAGTATCCATGAAGTGGATATATCTGATCTGGAGGCAGCATTGCGCTCTGAAGATTCTGGCAAGATGTATGAAAGCCCCCGAGATGAGATTGCTCGCCTGCGCAAAATGGAGCTGGAGCCAGAACATTATGATGTGGACATCAGCAAGGAGGTGAAATACATTATTGATTTGAATCTCAGCACATCAAAAGTGCAAACTGCCTCTTTCCCAATAATGTATACTGAGATCTAGTTGCCTTCTGTGAAACTCAAAACTCTGTGTGGTTGGAGCAACATGAGCTGAGAGTTTCACTTGTCTGTTAAGGATAGGACCAATGAAAAGTCATACAGGTGCGGGAGAGGAACTAAGAATCCTAAACTTTGTATTTATGAAAAGCTTGGAATGTTTGATTTTAATATAGCCCTAAGAGTTTCAGAGCACAGATGCTTTGAGCATGATCTGAAATATATATTCTGGAATGTATAAAATAGTTATTAGGATTGGATAGTAGAAAAAGGGTAGACTAGACTAGACTGTAGCAGGGGTGAAATTCAGCCAATTCTATCCGGCTCGGGCGAACTGGTAGCTGCGGCTGCGGGAGGCTCCGCCCACCCACGTGGACATCATGACATCACTTTTTTTGATGCAAAGAAGGCTTTGTACATGCGCAGAAGGCTTTATGCATGCATGGACGACAGCAAGTGCACATTTGCGAACCGGTAGGGAAGGTAAGTGAATTTCACCCCTGGATGGTAGGTAGGATAGGGTAGGGTAGGGTAGAATATATTACTAAGTGAAACATTTAACAAGGCATTCATAATCATTGCCACTTATTGGCTGTTTTTGTTATTCAGCTTTCCACTCCAGATAAAGTCCTCATTCCAGAAAGGTATATTGAGCTGGAACCTGATACTCCACTGAGCCCTGAGGAGATGAAGGAGAAACAAAAGAAAGTGGAAAGGATAAAGACACTGATTGCTAAATCCAGGTACAGTGCTATTTCACACATTTTGACTTTCCCGTGTAAAATATTTTGGAATATTTTATCCTTGATTTGGAGGCTATACATTTGGCCTTGCTGCTTATTAACAGCACTTTCCAGTAGCCTCTTAATATTCAGAAGTTACTAATGTTATATAGGTTTCATTCTGTGTTCTTCTGTGCCTTGTCTGTACATCTGGACTTGCTGGATATGCCTCATAGCAATTCCAATCTATAGTAGATAGGAAAAATAACTTATCTAAATATTTACGCCCCCCAAATTCACTCACTAGAAAATGAAGAAGAATATTAATTTTGTAAAGGAAGAGTGATTGTGTTTACATAACTAAAAATGGCCATTTGTGTTTTATAGAAATATATTAAAAATTATATTAAATAAATAGGATGTTTTACATCTGTTTCCATCTTATTTTATTGACCTTGTAGCTTTGAGTGTTGGGCGTTGAAATAACTTGTGTGTTCTCTCTTGCAGCATGCAGAACGTCATCCCCCTCAGCGAGGGAGAGATGGACTTGGCCCAGGACCCAGAGACTCAGTTACAGGAGCAGGAAAAGCGAATTGAGATCTCCTGTGCTTTAGCTACAGAAGCCTCCCGACGAGGCCGCATGCTGTCTGGTAAGATGAAATGCTCTGCAGCATTATCAGAAGATCAGGCAACGGGGTATCACAGTCCCAATAAGAGCAAAGCTTTTGCTTCCACTGATGAACTTGGCCAGATAGTGTTGCTTCAGCATTTAAGTGATTGTAGTGATATTGGACATTATAACAAAATAAATGAACTAGAGATCTAGCCTCCAAAATAAATTGAATTTGACAGCCCAAGTGGTGGAAATTAATCAAATACTTTAAATGGTTTGTTTAAATTCATTAAAATTATTTATAAAGGTTAGAAAATTGTCATAAGAAGCCAACTGTGCTGTTGTACTATTTTAAGTTTCTTTTGAAGTCAATGAGTCATTTGGCATTTTTCTGTCACTGATACTAATTTCCAGAAAATGTAAACCAATGAATTAATCTGATTTGTTAAATGGCACATACAGTATCAAGCCTTTGACTGAATGGCAATGTCTCAGGGGTTCCACTTACTTTTACTACCGGTTTGCAATGGGAGCGCATGCGCAGAAGCTTCTGTGCATTAACAGATCAGCAGTGATGACGTAGGGGCGGGTGGCGGAGGCTCCCACCACCATTACTATCAGTTTGCAAGAACCAGACCGAACCGGGAGCAACCCACCACTGCAATGTCTTCTCCTCTAATTTGTAACTCCAAGAAAAGCAACTCCAACTTCTTATACCTTCTTACTATAGGTCAGCAGCAGACAACTTAGAGACCTGAACATTTTAAGGCACTTTTTTTAAAATATAAATTTTATTAATTTTCTATTAATTACATTTTTATTCAATTAATTACATTTCTTAGTGCTTAATAAATATCATGTAGTTGGGTATTTAATTTGCTTAGCATTACAAATTTTATTCTTAACCTCCACCCTTTTTTCCCCCAACCACTGGCACTTTTTAAAGGTTAAAAGAATCACTGAAGGCATTGAATATGGAATATTGTGTTGTTTTATTTTATTTACAGTGGGAGTAAGGATTTTTTTCAAAAAGTAGAATCTGTGTGTTAAGCCATCCACAGGTAAATTTTAAAAATGCCACCAAATGTTGTCAATATGAGGCATAGTGAGTTGTACAAATGAGAGTTACATGCAGCCTATTGACCGCACACTCCTCTGCCTTAAGGTATCTGTAAGTAACAGGTTTTTTTGTGAATTGAATACACTACATTGCTGCCAATTTTTCAGGCTGCTCTATCTCATATCTTGTCAGTATCTAGACTGCAGAAATGAGGGTGCTGGATGAGTTTGTTCCCCAGTCATTCCTCCTCCTTTATTCTTCCGTTTACTGAGGAGCTGCAGGCAATGAAGGTGGTAAACGGGATGCCGAGAGCAATGGGGTGAGAGTGGGGCGGATAAATGAAACCAGTCATTGTGCCCAGTTTGGTAGTACATCATGGTAATAAGAGTGGAGAAACATGCTCCCATCTCATGTTACCTTTATTTATTTATTTATTCATTTATTTATTTATTTGCATAACATTGTTTATTGCATTAACATCTGGCAGCTCTGTTCAGAGTTACTTTTAGGGGAAGAGAGGGTAAAGATCTTTCTGAATATTCTATGATAAAATAAATAAAAATCATCTACATGTACGTACACGAGACCAATCAAGTTGGCCACGCCCACCTAGTCACATGACCATCCCAGCTGGTCATTAGGGCAGAGAACCAGTTGTTAAATTATTTGAATCCCACCACTCTTCCCACCCCACATGAAATGAGGGGTGTAGGAGTTATGAACATGCCTTCTCAATGACTGCCTCCACACTTTGGACCACCTTACCTCCTGAGATAAGCAATGCTTCATGAAGGCATCAAAGACCTTACTCTTCTGCAGAAAATTTGGCACTAATATTAAATGGGCATTCTTATACTAGTTGGTTTAAGTGTCTATTTTGCTTTATTCAGAGCCATGCTGAATCCTCCGGGAAAATTGAATATAAATTTTAAAAAGCCATGCTCATTATATAGGACAAAGACACACAGTTTTCTTGCCCTGGTGTGAGGACACTCACTAACCATTTCCAAAAAACATGCACGAGTATGTTAAAGATCTATGAATAGCAGTGCAGCACAGGGCCATTACAGGTTTGTAGCAAGGTACAATGTGATGGCAACAAGATTTAGGGCAGCATTTAGGGCAGCATGATGGCTCAGAGGGGAAGAGAGCACAGCAAAGAAGATATGGCGACAGGCAATTCTTCACTTCTTCCAAAGAAGGCATTTTTCAAACTCCTCAAAGAACCAACTTTTATGGTACTCTGCCTCAATTTTATTCCTATACCAGAAGGACCAGCCATCTCTGAAGGTAGCATTTATTTGAAGAGGCTAGAGCTATCCAACTTAACCTGAGTGCAAGTATTATAAATTGAAAGGTTGAGGAAGGTCAATAGCAGTTACCCGTATCAGTCTTGAATATATGTATGTTTGAAATATGTCCAGTACTGTGGTATCCATCTTGGCAAAAGGCATTTAGGACAGTTAACTACTCAAATATGCTTGTTCTGCATTATTGCATTAAAACATTACCTTCTACAGTTCATTGGAAAGGTATTTCTTCTTGAAATATTTCTCACTACTGCTGTACATCGCTGCTGAAGAAGCCATTGTACAATAACTATAGTTGCCTTATAATCAGACTTGTGCCAAAACATGAAATTCTTCTTATTCAAATTGTCCTTTGTCCTAAATTGCTACACATTTGGGGGTGACTCCAAAAATCTGTTACTTTCCATGAATATTAATACTTAATATGTAGTTTACTAAATTGGCATTGACAGAAATTAATTTAGTCTTCATCATATGGCTGGATATGATTTATAGCAGCCCTCTGCAACTGGGAAATGGTTGGGATTCTGAACACTGTTGTCTCAACACAGAACATATTTGGAGGGAACCAAGCTAGAAAAGGCTGGCCTTGTGGCCTGTATTTATACAGAGCAATTATTGTAAGTTAGATTTCGGTTTATTCTGTGGGTAGAAATGTGGATGCCCTAGAATCTCACTTAGAATTTTAGGAGAGCCTCAGAGTGAATGGGACCACATCATTCATGTGGGATTTGGGGGATTATTTGTATTTTTATAAATTACTTTTCTAAAATTTCTCACCACAAAATGACAAGAAATGGAGCCTTCTATTTTAGCAATTATGGTCAAAGGGCTATCCACCTGGAATTTGGGACTGCCCACAGCCCAGCTTGACTCCATAGTTTAACCTGAGCAATACTCATGGGATCTATTTGTAGGTAATGTAGTACAGCCATTTTCTACTGCTGTGTGATTTTGTGTTTCCTTTTTTTTTTCTTTTAATCCATGTTTGCTCAATGGATTGTGTTTCTTTGTCTTAGTTTTCTCCTCCCTTCACCCACCCCCTCACCCCTCTGTCTGAAGCACCGTATATTATTCAGGCTCTATTTCCATTTCTTGTTTTCAGCTCAATGTGCTACCCCGAGCCCTCCCACTTCCCCAGCTTCCCTGACTCCACCGACCAAGTCCCTCTCGTCTGACTCATCCCAGGGCACCGACAGTCATTTTATGCGTGCCTGAACCTTAAAGTAAGCACTTTTTGTATTATACTTCCATCTCGTTTCATGTGTACCTGTGAAGAAAAGAAGTGGTAGGCTTCTTTTTCAACAGAGTTTCATCTTTTCACCAAACCCACCCATCCACCAAATATCCATTAAGCTAACCCTTTCTTCTTTGCCACATAAGCCCAGTCTCCTTCTATGGAATGCTTGCAAAAACTTATCAATGAATTGAGCTGCCACATCCTTTTCTGGATTTACGAGGACAAAGTAGCCTAATTTCATCATTTGTTTCACTTACATCAATTTAGAGCAACGTTACAGCAAGTCTTCTAAACTGAACATAGTGCTATAACGTAGAGGATATTAGCTGTTGCCAAGAAGCCCTGGTTACATCTCATTTCAGTCATAAGCTCTCTAGGCCATTGGTATTTTTCTTTGATTTTCTTAAAACCAAAGGTTAGTTTGGAGATAATGAATTTAAACAGAATAGTCAGAGATTCAGATTTACCTGGAAAAAAAAAAAGGAAGGTGGGATTGCAAGAAGCAACAGGAAGTTAACTAGGTGTCTCTTATTATATATTTGGTTCTGGATCCAACATTTGGGAAAAATGATAATCAAAAGCATTCTTAGTCTTTGAGCCATGGTGACGCAGTGGTTAGAGTGCAGTACTGCAGGCTACTTCTGCTGACTGCCGGCTGACTGCAATTTGGAAGTTCAAATCTCACCAGGTTCAAGGCTCAAGCTTTCCGTCCTTCCGACGTAGGTAAAATGAGGACCCAGATTGTTGGGGCAATATGCTGACTCTGTAAACCGCTTAGAGAGGACTGTGAAGCAGTATATAAGTCTAAGTGCTATTGCTAGTCAAAACTGGTATTTGCCATCTTGCTATGATTATTCTATTACTTTCAAGATGTGCATGTGTATATCAGCACACAAATGCCAAACTGCCATATTTTGGACAATATAGCTACAAAAAAAAAACAACACTGTTTTTGTTAGTTAATCTACTCTATTCCTGACAGTTATTACTGTTTTTAAATAATTGAAAGAAATAATTGAAAGACGGAGTTAATGATTTCCTTTTTATGCCCCAAGTCCATAATTTAAGCTGTGACTTTATGCACATATAGCTATCCTGGCAGCCATAAAAGAGATATATCAAGTAAGAGTTCACAGGATAGCTCTGTCAGTCCAGCTGTCTTCTATAATTGGTAATGTGGAAGGTAGTCCAAATATTATTTGAGCACTGGGTTTCTATGTTTTTAAAGACCCTGGGGATTGAATTAGGGAGACAATGCTGGAATGTTGTGGCATCCAAAACAGGCTTTGGCCCATACAACTCCAGTTCCATTGAAGAGATAACAGGAATTTAATTTCCAGTCCTTTTCCCAAGGGCCAGTAAACATTTCCATTGTGCTCAGAACAGTAAGAATAGAATACTGCTCTTAATACAGCTTTAATACACTTTAAACAGAGAGATAACCAATGGAGATGAGTAAACTGAGATAGATTGTGGAAGGTAGGTTTCTGCCCTGACATTTTCTACCATTTTTATTTTTAAAGGCTCAAGGAAAGTAAGAGTACTCTCAGCAACCACCAAAAGGAATTCATTGGAAAATAATGCAGTCCCCATTCTTCTCTCCACCAGTTTTTCCAAGGGAAGGACAAATGCTTGTTTGCCTTTATTCACAGAGCTGGTCACAAGCTTTGTTCGGGCCTCTGGGCCATTAAAAGTATTATTCTCCCCTCTCCACTTAAATGCTAGACTTCTGTCTTCTGGTTAATGATGGCTGATTTGGGAGTGAGATTGGCAGTGGAAGAGATATAACCAGCAGTGGTGGCAGCACTTCCATCAAATGCTTATTCCTTCTGTGCCATGCTATGGATGCATTGTGGCCCCATGTTCGAGCTACAAATCTGGACTGACAAAGCTGAATGAACATTCAACATGTCAGCAAATTCCTTACCTATGCGTCTTAGTTATATTTATACTGCTGCCTGCAAGCTTCATCTTCAGTGATTATCACTAATTTTTTTTTATCTGTTCTCTTCCCCCTCTGGTCTCCCCAGCACAAGCCCTGGCTGCTGTGAATGCTGTGAAGTTCCATGGAGCCACATTTTAACACATGAATTTGCCCTCTCAACTCTACTGCTTAATAATGTATACAACCATTCCTGTGATTTGCCAACTATCTCCTGCGGTTGAGCTGCAGAAGCATTCAGGAAGGAAAGCTGCCTCTGAAGAGAACAAGTGTGCTTTTGTCTTTGCTCTGGTTCTCCTCCCACTGCTGCCAAAGCCTGTACCAAAACCTCTCAGATGCCTGGTCTATAAAAGCAATTAAAGAAGCAGCATCCAGGAGAAGTTCCATTCTGCAAGATGGCTTCTTCGTCCCTGCAGGAGGTCTCAAGACAAAGGAGCGGTGGCTAAAGATCAGCAGAAGCATCAAATAATTTGAACGGAAAAAGGAAAGCTGGTGATAGCGGGGGGATGTACAATTTCCTATCCTTAGGTAGCCATTTCCTAAATTGCTAACCTTCATCACTTATTTTTATTTTACTTTTTTTCTTAGTTTGAGGGAAGAGAAATATATAAGGAATAGATTGTCATGGCAGCCAGAGACTTTATAACCACTTTATTGAATTGAACGACATATTTTTCTTCCTCACATTTTGTTCCCATCTGCCAATCTGATTGGCTCTAGAAACTTTAATCTATGGAACTAAGCAACCCATGCATGGTCATGTTGCTTACACTTATATCTACCTGCTCACAAGAAGAGAAAGGAGGGAGCATCACTGAACTTTGTGGATACGGCAGATGAAGAAAACAGAAGGTTGTCGGTGTGGAGGGGAAAAAAACAGAAACAGCTTTGGAATCTGCTAATTTTGGGGAGTCTTGTGATAGCTGTGATATGCTGAAGAGTCCCCTCCCCCTCACTTTTCCTAAGTTTACGAGGAAGATGGAATAGGAAGTATGTGCAATGTGCGTGGACATGTAATAGAAGTGTGGATGGAAGATACAAAGGGGAAGGATGGCTACAAAAGAGTTCAGTTTGATCGGATAAACCACTTTGTGTGTTTTAAGTTTACTGTACTCAGAACTGGGACTGGTAGGTGACATATTTATTCTCATACCAGAACCAATTCAAAATAGTGCCACTCAACTCTTGGTTCTCCAGGATATAGGTTGGAGCCAGAAAGAAAACTGTATGCTGTGAAGATCTCAGCATAAAGAAACTAATGAAATAGTAAGTCTGCAAGAGAAATGGAAATGTGTCTGAACTTGACTAAAGCAAGCTATGAGTTGATTCCATAGTATGTGTAAATCAATTCTCTCCTATTTATCATTGGGAGAAGAAAGCGAGGCTTCTTCAATTTCTGCCATTTGTAGCATTTCTCTCAACTTTAGAATAATAGAGCAACATTTGCTTTGAAGTAGAATTCTCTCACTTTCTCACACAGAGTGCTTTTCATCCATCTCTGTCCAAGCTAGAGCTACAATAACAATGGCTGATGATCTTTCAGAGGAGCTAAGCTCCTACATCAAAAGTGCAAGTCCTTTGCTGTATTTGCTTCTATCAGCATCTGAAAAGTGGCTGCTTCCCCAAATGAGTCCTCATTTTTTTCCCTAATCAAATTGTGAAAATAACTCAGAAGGACAGAACAGAGGAGAGTTATTGTACAAAAACAGGACTTGGGAAATTTACTCTTGTCAAGTACAGAAATGTACCAAGATGTCCTAACTTATATTATGCTAGATCAGAGATCTAACTTGGACCTTTTCCACACCGCAGTTGTACGCTAAAAGGTTTATACATGGTGAATCCTGAACTGAATACCATTTAAAGCTAAGATGACCTTACCTCTTCAGAAATAATCAGACTCTGCATTAAACCTTGCAACACCTCATAATCAGAATTCCATACCATTGAACTTGGGCACAGACAGGACTTTTCACCCAACGTAGTGTTTTTGAAAACAATCTGTCTTATTAATAGATGGATCAAAATATAATTGGATGATCGTGTGGCCCATACATTTATTTCAAAGGCTACCAAAATTGACCATACCCAATATAAAGCCAACTAGAATCGATTTTATGGAAGCGAATAAAATTGTTCTAGTTATAGATCAGAATACAAAAAAAAGACAGCTAGCTTTTTTATAATCCTGACGTAGATTTTCAGTGAATTCACTGCCATGTTTTCAAAAATGCTGCATTTCTTCCCCCACCCCTAATGTTTTGCTTCTTTACAAGTACAGTTAGTCGTCAATGTACAACCATGGTTGAGCCCAAAATTTGTGTTGCTAAGTGAGACATTGTTAAGTAAGTTTTGCCCCATTTTACAACCTTTCTTGCCACAGTTATTACAATTCTTAAAGTTAGTAATATGGTTGTTAAGTGAATCTGGTTTCCCCATTGACTATGCTTGTCAGACGTTTATAAAAGAGGATCACATGACTCTGGGACACTGCATCCATCATAAATATGAGTCAGTTACCAAGTGTCTGAATTTGGATCACATGACCATGGGGATACTGCAATGGCCAAAAGTGTGAAAAATGGTCATAAGTCACTTTTTTCAGTGACATTGTAACTTTGAACTATCACTAAATGAATTGTTGTAAGTCGAGGATTACCTGTACTCAAAGGAGAATATACTAGTGAACAGGTGGCACCTCAGACTACAGTATGATTTGAGTCCTAGTTGACAATTTAGCACTGTTGAAATTATCATATATTTTGTCATATAAACATGTCCATAAATATATTGATCAGTTTTATCCAAAGATTTATCAAAACTGGGTGTCCTATTTCTGTATTATTGGAAGAAATAACACTGCTTCAGTGTCTAATATATGCAACTCTTAAGGCAGGCATTAAATGCAAATTTGGTTATGGAACATAAGCCCTCCACTCCCCTACTACTCATTTTCTTCCATAATTCAGATTATTTTAATTGAATCAGGATTCTTTACAAGTGTTACATGAAAGACTAGCTTGGATCCCAGCTGAAATAGAAAATGTCAGCTTTGAGCCGCACTGTTCCTTATGTTCATACGTCTTCAAAATAGTCTTGAAAATTCTCACCATTTTTCCAGGCTATCAAGAAGACTAATTCTTTCCTGGCTTTTTAGGGATATATTTAATATCCAAATACCTAGTTTAATCAATAAATGACATGCGGTATCAATACACATAACTCTTTCAAATTCAAGTTTAAGTAGGTATGAAATTTAATTTGCCTTGATTTTTTGTACAACAAAATGAATTAAAACTGAAATTTAAAGAGCAAAAGGAAGAAGCATCTCCAGAGCATATTCTTCTCCCTTGATACCACTTTTTGCAACAGAGAAGTTATGCCAGGGAGAAATCATTTAGGAAGAATAGATAACTAAAATGGAGAGAATTCAGTATTTATAATATGTACCTTACCCTGTACACTCTTCTCAGCATATAAATGATTTGGGCAACTCCCACATTGAAGAGTTAGAGCTGTCCTCTTCAACTTCCCAGGAAAAGACAATGGCAAACCACTTCTGTTGTCAAGAAGGCTGCAGGTGCACATAGTCACCAGAATTTAAACTTAGGGATATCAAGTCTAGTTTGATCTCAAGAGAATAGAGTCCTGTTTACAAAATGAAAAGAGCTAACGACAGTGTTACCAAATGATTCTTTGTCACCCCTGTTTGTGGTAAGGATATAGTTCTAAAGTAATAGTGCATTGGTGGAATTTGGCTGGTTCAGCAGAGTCTCTTTTGAAGACTGAAAAAACATGGAGAGACCAAGCATATCAGTCCATTAGGAGGAATATTTCTCAGGCCCACACATAGTAGAAGTCTTAAGTTTCAAAATTTACTTATGCTTTTCAGGGAGTAAATCCCACTGAAATAGATATGGCTTATTTCTGAGCAGACCCACAAAGGTGTGCATCTCTTAGGCTTTAATCCTCAATGTGCTTATTGTAAGGCTTTACATCCACACTGGAGCTTCTAAGCATCCATACATATATTATTCTGTTGAAATGAATGTTCAGAAAATTGAAAGTTAACTCCACGGTATCTCTGGAAGAGTTCTGATATTGTTATTTTTAAGAATTTGTCTAAGAATCTATTTCAATGTGTATTAAAAGGAATTAATATCTCAGCACCCAAAAATCATCCTTCTGATCTAAGAGCTTAAGTGATAAATGTTTCCCCATCTCTTGCACTGTGGAATCTAGTTTTATCAGGTCCTCTGTCCTGCTGCTTGCCACAAAAGAAGCACCGCCTTGGCATGTCTAAGAGTTCAGCTTCATCCATATTTACAAGAGAAACCTTCCATCTCCCTGTCCAATAAAGATGACGTCTCCTTTTTATTATTTAAACGAACCTGTTGGCAATACGTAGATCACTCCAGAGAATCAGAGTTTTAGACCCTTCTCCTTTAGCAATACTGTTGACATTCCACGTTGATGAAGATGATGATGAAAGTATTTCATTCTGCTCTTGCAGTAGCTTCTGTTAGTTCATAAAATGTTATCCCTTCATGATCCTCTACATGCCTTAATATGTGTTTTTAAAAATTATACCGTGATATATATGTGTGTGTGTACATTTATATATATTTTATATATATATATAATATATGGGTTTTCTTCCTCTTCTCCCTATACTAATTTCTTTTGGGCTAACTTTCTCTGTGTACAGGGCTGCTGAAGCCTGCTTTGCCACTGAGTTTCTGAAATACAGACGCTGGGTGGTATATCAAAATAATTAAAGAAATTTTAAAATGCATATTTAAATAAATATATATTTTTCTGCTTTTTATTAAAAGCAAATTTATTTAAAATGAATGAAAGCTGTCTGTAAGGGAGTGGTGCATTTATTTCCTTGTTACTAGGTAAGCTCATGTTTTCTATACCAGGGCTTAAGCCTCAGTTGATGCAACTTGGCAATAGCTTACTTGGAACTAGCAAAGCTGAGTTCACTTAACCCTGGGGAAGTTCTGGCTTGAAAGATATGTCGTCAGATGAATTATAGAACTGTAGCATATCAGGGACCGCAAAGATTGTCTCGCTGGTATACAGCTATCCCACTGGGATCCTTTGCAATAGAGGTGGCTTTGAAATGTTGATGCCACTTGTTTTTTACCTCCCTTTTGTTCAAATTTGTTCATTTTGTGTGGTTAGCAGAGAGAAATCCCTGCAAGATGATTGTTTTATTTTCCTCTCTTCAATCACAATTGCTCTCTAAGCTGCCGTATTTACCTCCACAATGCCCAATCTAGTGGGAGAAAGGTACATCTTTCAGTCGGTACATGTTTTTCCTTGCTGTGATTTGACCCATACCAAATGCTAGTAGCTTAGTAGAGAGATGAAGTAAGAGCTGAGGAAAGGCCTTAGTTAGCCTATGTGAAGGATTTGGCCCTCTCTTAATTTAGAGAGTGGCTCCTTATTTCTACCTCTTTTGAAGACTCGGAGGTAGTGGTCCTACTTGTGCAAGTGCTTGATAAACATGGCAGACAGCTTGAAAGGAAATCATTCCACCAATATTTTAGGGTACAGAGGGTAATGTAAAGATGGTGTTACATTTTGGAGTCTCAGCTTCTGTCAAGGAAGTGCAAATCCCTTCTCAAATCATTTTTTTCTCCCTCCCTACATGTAAAACTGGCACTTTTTTTTTTTTTTTGCTATTGTGGAAAGCATTAAAATGACATAAATAACATCAGAAAGCATTATCTCACCCTTCTCAAGCCCTCTGTTCAATTCATAGCAAGGTACGATTGTAACTGATTATTGCCAATGTCACTTTAAGCATTCTGAGACTTCTAATCAGTATTTCTCAACCTTGGCAACTTGTAGATGTGCGAACTTCAACTTTCAGAATTTGCCAGCCAACAGAGCCGGCTTTCCCATAATTGACTAAAGAATTCTGGGAGTTGAAGTCCATGTGTCTTTCAGCTGTCAAGGCTGAGAAAAACTGCTCTAAATTCTCAGCAGAGCACATTTAGGGTCACAGTTTTGCAGTATTGTAGAACCCTGTTTTTAAAATGTTTTATTTTTTGTGTACATGTGCGTGTGTGTTCCTTTCTAATAAAATTTTCATATACCAGCAGCACCTGCAACCAACAAATACTGCATTATTTATGCACATTATTTGGAGAGAAAAAAAAGTAGTGTTAGATGTTAAAATTATCAAAGAAGCAATGTGATGTTAATGTCTTTTTTTTTCTTTTTGTATAAAAGTGACCTTAGATTATGACAATTATAAAAATTAGCTGTTCTGTGATTGAAAACAATATGTTGGTGACTTGGGGGTTCTTCACACCAAACCAAGGGATAATCTTTCCATAATTAAACCCACAGTGGCTTACTTAATATTCTTTCCTGCAACATTTGTTCTAGATGTAGTTACTTTAAAAGGTCCTCCCTCTCAAAACCAACACGTGCAAGAAAAACAAACAAAAATAAATGCATTTGTACCTTGCAAGTTTGTATAAAGCAAATAAATAAAAAAATGGATGGTTTATAACTAGACTGTGTGTGCTTATCTTTCTTTAACATGTAAGTGTGAGACCTAAGAAAAGGAGGGATAGAAAGGTGTACTATATATAGTTGTCCTCAGAGTGTACTGTTCTCTATATTTCTATATATTTCAGCTGAATATGTATAGTTACATTTATTTACTATTGAATTATTTTTCACTCACTGCAGTTGAAGGACTCTTGGAGGCTTACATCTCCATGGCACAGTTACATAACGATAAAGAATAAACTGTCCGTCCCCCTCCCCAAATAAACCACCAATAAAGTCATAAAACGAGCAAGAAGGAATATAAATCACAAGTTTTCATCTCTTAATGATATGCCAGCAAATACTATATAGTTGCACTCCTATCAGTGTTCAAGGTTGAGAACCTCCTTGTGTACCATAGCTAAGTATAGAAACTATATTTTCTCTGTTATAAAGGAAGTGAGGCTCCAAAGTTAAATTACTATGGATGTTGAAACCATTATCATCCTATAGTACAGTTTTTACTCAAACACATCTAGTAATAATATATGAAATTAATACAAGAAACTATTTTTAGAAAAAAATGACTATACATTTCATGTATATAATGCTCTGCATGAGTCATTTGTTTTCCTGCATTAGCTTATTTAGTAAGTATTAATATGATACATGTTCTTCCTTATAAAATATGTTTTGTGACTCACGCAGATGATGTAGATGTCCCTGGTCCTTTAATTAGTTGTATAATGATTCTTTGTGCTGATTGCCTGGTCAAGAACTGAAACTTATTTTTTAATATAACAATATATCAGTGTATTAAAAGGAAATGCTCCTAAAGTACATTGGAGAGAGAGAAAAATATGGTATTTATATGGAAAAGAGAAAAATAGCAAAATGCGAACATAAAACAATTTCTATAAGATAATCAGAATCTCAGTAGCCCCTCCTATTCCCTAGTAAGGAAGCTTTTTCTGATGTTTACTTGTTTCCTGTCTTCTTACTAAAGTATGCATTTGCAACTGATCTCTAGCAATTTATCATTCATGGGATTGTACGTTTATCCTTTATTTTTTAAAAAAGTAATGATTCACAAAAAGTTAGACAAAAGAGAATACAGATTTGTATTAAAGTAGCATATATTACTCATGGGCATCGAATCACATTTAGAAATTGAAATTCTAGTAAATATGCTGTGCATCACATCACACTAGGGACCAATTGGTTGTTATTCTGCATCTCAGGTTTTGCTTTCTCTTTCTTAAGGCTTATTTATTCATTCATTTATTCGTTTGTTCTTTCTTCCTTCCTTTCTTTCTTTCTATATCCCACCATTATTATTTTTACAAATAACTCAAGTGGTGAGCATACCCAGCCCATCTTCCTCCACCTATTTTTCCCCACAACAACCACCCTGTGAGGTAGGTTGGGCTGAGAGAATGTCCTGCCCAAAGTCACCCAACTGGCTTTTATGTTTCTTATTACACTGACAGTTTGTCAGGCAGAGAACCACCTTTAAAGAAGAGTCTGTCTTCTGATAATCATTCTGTCAGAGTAGCATTTCTCAACCTTAGCAACGTTAAACTGTATAGACTTCAACTCCCAGAATTCCTCAACCAGCATTGAAGTCCTCAGGGGTTAAAGTTCCCCCTGGGGCTCCGGGTGGCCCCTGACCTTCGTTCTTTCCGCTGAGCCTTAAAACATGGCTATTCCGCCTGGACGGTTTGGACTGAAGGGGTTTTAGAGGGGATTTTAATGGTTTTTATAGTTTTATTGGGCATTTTTAAAAAAAATTGAACTTTGTGTGTTTTATTGTTGTGAGCCTCCCTGAGTCCTTTCGGAGATAGGGCGGCATATAAGTCCAAATAATAAATAAATAAATAAATAAAGTGGTCATGATTGAGAACCACTATATTAGATGACAATCCTCTGCAAAGTAGGCCAAGCCATCCTACATCTTGTTTTCCAACTACAAAAAGGAAGTCATGATAACAGGTCTTAGAGGAAAACAAAAACAAAGCCAGGGCTAATGGGATTTTGGGGGTGGGTGGAAAGAGTACCTGATTTATTAAACCATACAAATACTTGCACAAGTAATGTTACTTTTTGCAGCATTATTTTGGAAATGCCTCAGAGCTTGGCTCAAGGATCCCTTTTCTTCTTTTTAAGCACAGCTATAGGCTGTTACTAGACGCCACTATCTATTTCCTATATGATTGTAACAACACTGCTCACCTTGTAAGATCTATAATGATAGTTCAATGGAGTCTCCATTGCAGAGAGGTTAATAATTTGCAAGATGATGCAGTAAGGGCTAAAGGTCTTTCCAAGGTTCACTAACTGGGAAATACATGGGAGTCTTGACAGCCAATCCTTTCTAAGCCTTCAGCAGGAAATATGTTGGAAATTACAGACATTCAGAGTAAGTATGAATTTAGCAAATAGGGTTTTGTGGATCATATTTCAGCAATATGTCATTGGTTTCACTAAAAATATAATAAAAGCTAATCATGGTGTCTGTTTGAAAGCTCGGCCTTTTTAAAAATTATTTTACTATTGATTGCTCAATTGGCACATTTACCTATTTTACTACAGGTTACAAATCTGCTTATGGGGAACAAGCTAAGTAAACCTACTTGCTTCTAGTCCCAGGAGACAAGTCAGATAACCTCATAGTATCTCTAACTGGTACCGATGATCTCTCAGCAGTATGATTTAGTGTAGTTTGAAATGTATTCATAAGAAGATGCTGTAGGATCATAACCAACAGACATTACAGACTTGTAGTAAATTGTCACCAAAAATATTTGTCGTAACCAAGATTGCTAATAATATGTGTATCAGCTGTGACCAACCTAATGTCTTTTGGATGTACACTAACTGGGAATTCTGAATTTGTGGTCCACTACAGCTACAGGATACCAGGTTGAGCAAAGCAAAGCTAATGTAAATTAATTTAAGCGTAAAGGGGTGTGAGAAGCAAAACCATGCACTGACATTGATTTACACCAGGAATATTTCAAGATTGCTTAGCACATTGTAAGCCGCCCTGAGTCTCCGGAGAAGGGCGGCATATAAATCAAATTTTTTTTAAAAAAAAAAGATGCTTAATGGAGTTTCTCTGGGTAAAAGAAAACCAGTGACAATAAAGGTTTATAATATTTTGTATTAAGGTTCATCATTCCAAACTTAGTAATTAAAACTTGTTCATTTTGGATCTGCACCAAAATAGAACCTGGTTTCAAAGATCCAAACTGATATTTTCACATGATCAAATTTTCTGGTTAAAATTGGAAAGATACAAAAGAAACTGATCTATATCCTATAATGCCTAGGCAAAAGGGGGGGGGCACTTTATGCCTACAGACTTTAGGGACAGAAATTAGATTGAAAGAGATGAAGGAGGGCATCTAACCTGCATCATCAGAGGAATATGATGAAATTTAACCAATGTCAAAAAATTCAAACAAGATTGAATTTAATGTTGAGGCCGCTATCGTACTTCAGACTCATGTGAAGACCCAGCTCTGTGGAAAAGGCTCTAATGCTGGGAAAAGAAAAGAGAAGGATGGACTCATCTCCTTCAGCTGAGTACTCTGTTGGGAGACAGGAAAAAAAACAGACTTGGGATCAATTATCTTGGAGAAAATCTGTATGGTTGCTAAGAGTCGAAAACAATTTGATGATATCTAATCAATTAATCATCAATCAATCCACTAGTGAGGCCACCAGAAAATTACAAAAGAAAGCAATGGCAAAATCTCTTCTGCAAAGAAAATCGAAGGGAAGGGTCCATATAGTCAACAGCAGCTAGGTTTAAAATGAGGACAATTTCTATAAATTTCCTGTTGTATTGGAAATTAAGCTTAAACTTTGCTTGCTTGGTTGGTTATTTGTTTCTTTATTCAGAGGAAATAATCTGCTTTTCAAAAAAAAATATCTTTGAAAAAAATTGTACAAAATAATTAAAATTCTGTAATACATTATGGCAAAATGCTCTTGACATTTTGAAGCAGTTTCTAAGAAGCATCTGTAAGATGGAAGCACCAAAGCAAGGGAAAGAGTTTGTTATCACCGATACTTAGAGCTAATCATTGCAAATGGGCAATTAGAAATTATTGAACTGTTTGAAAAAAGACAGTTTGTCTTTCAAGTTTGTCCCTGTACCAGTGGTGAAATGCACTTACTTTCGCTACCAGATCGGAAATGTGAGTGTACACGCCTCTTCTGCGCATACACGGAGCCTTCTACTTATCTTTACCGGTAGTAAAGGTAAGTAGAACCCACCCCTGACCCATAGATATATAATGTGTCCTTTTACAAGGGTAGAAATAAGTTATGTGTAGAGAGCTGTAGTAAGTGATGTTTCTTTTGATGAGTACTTTTTTATATATGTTTTCCTGGGAGGAGGGTGTAATTCTGTGTTTTCAATCTGCAAAGCTAGCTGTTTTATTTGTAAATAAATAAGTCAGAGTTTAGTAACATAGAATTGCATGGGCACTTTTCTTGCAGGCCATTTTTTAATCTTTGTTCAGCATATCCACAGAGCTGGGAGGCAAAGAATGCTACATGTCCCATCCCCTAGGGAGATACACCTAGTGGGACTCAGAAGGGCCTTCTCCATGATGGCTCCCTCCCTCTGGAACATCATTCCTCCAGAGATTAGAATGGCTCTTCCATGCCATTCTAGAACAGTGGCTAACACTCTTCCGGAAGGCAAAGACCTGATTTTGCCAGAGGGCCTGGGGAACGCAGAGCAGGATGGAGCCCATTAAATGGCTCATGTGATGTGTTGTTGCTGGGGTGGGTTGAATCACCATGTGTGAATAGGCAGCAATATAAATTTCTCTATAAATAAATAAACAAAACAACAAAACAAAACAAAACAAAACATCCATGTAGCTGGGCCTGGCTTAGAAGAGTCTGATCAGCAGAGAATAGTAATAACAAAGCATTGGGGCAGAATATTGATTATAAATTGTAATTAATTGCTAACACTGAGGTGTGAACTAGAATTATTTAAAA